TAGTGGATGCAGTGAGTGTGTTAGTGTGTAGTGTATGCAGAGTGTATGTTGTATTAGTGGATGCAGTGTGTGTGTTGCATTAGTGTATGCAGTGTGTGTGTTAGTGTATGCAGAGTGTGTGTTGTATTAGTGTATGCAGAGTGTGTGTTGTGTTAGTGTATGTAGTGTATGTGTGTTGTTTTAGTGTATGCAGTGTGTGTGTGTTGTGTTAGTGTATGCAATGTGTGTGTTGTTTTAGTGTATGCAGTGTGTGTGCTGTGTTAGTGTATGCAGAGTGTGTGTTGTGTTAGTGTATGCAGTGTGTGTGTGTTTTGGTAGTGTATTCAGTGTATGTGTTGTTTTAGTGTATGCAGTGTGTGTGTGTTGTGTTAGTGTATGCAGTGTGTGTGTGTAAATGTGCAATCTGGGTGGGGGGAGGGGGAGGAAGGGGCATTTTAACATTAATTTTTTATTAATTTAATTAAATGTTTCTCCCCCCTCCCTGTTTCTTACCTGTGTCCAGGGAGGGGGGAGATTCCATCCCTAGTGGTCCTGTGGCATGGGGGGGGCCACCGGCTCCCTGTTACCGCAGAGGGGGCCCAGGCAACACAGCTTCTCCTCTCCTCTCTTCTAATAACTCTTGCGAGACCCGCAGAGCGTTGCCATGGTAACAGGGTCTCGCGAGAGTTATTAGAAGAGAGAAGAGGAGTAGCAGTGTGCTGCCTGGGCCCCCTCTGCGGTAACAGGAAGCTGGGGGCCCGCCGCTGCACACATAGATAGTGATATTCGCTATGTGTGCAGAGAAAGAAAGTGGGGCCCGGGACTGTCAGAGCAGTCCGGGCCCCCCAGGGCCGCCGGGCTCGTGACAACCGTCATGGTTGTCACCCCCTGATGGCGGCCCTAGGGAGGGGAAGAGAGACATGAAAGGGAAGTGGGAGAGACACTAGGGGGGTATGGATGGAAGGAGGAGAGAGGCATGCATGGAAGGGACAGGGAGACATGAAAGGCAGGAGAGAGACATGGATGGAAGGGACAGGGAGACATGAAAGGCAGGAGAGAGACATGGATGGAAGGGACAGGGAGACATGAAAGGCAGGAGAGAGACATGGATGGAAGATGGGGATATCACCCTCCTGCATACACTGAAAAAAGATTTTATTTTTATTCCATTTGTTGAATTCATTGATATTTTCCTGTCCTAGCAACATATCATCCAAAATCAAGCGACCTCAAGATAATACTTGTCTCACACACGTATTTTAGAACTAACTTTCAGGACATCTTCTAAAATTATTCTTGCTGGCAAAACAGGTGAATGGTTATCCACTAAGCGGCTAAAGTGTACATTTACAGAAACTAAAAGTGAAGATCGAAAAAGCTGAACCGAAAATCTAACGAACTTTTCCAGTTTGGCTATCGTGCCTTAGATTTGAAATTCAGCTTTAATTGTTTGAAATACACACTTTAGTAAATGCGCCTAATTGTCTTGTTCGCGTTCAACGTTCCTCTAAGGATGAGGAGTGAAAAACGTAGTGTCTGCACTGCACAGTGCTCTGTATACAGACACGTACTTCCAGATCGCAGTCACAGGTTCTGACAGTTCCTACGTATCTCCATAAAGCACTGTAAGATATCCACCAAACCTCTGTTCATGACGTCCCATTGTTAACGTGACAAAGCGTTCCACCCTGTGATCAGAGTGTGTGCCAAGCTCACAGGTAGCTGTGTACTTCACAGAACGGTTTGTGAGTCACTGCTTTACAGATCTCCCTGTAGGCTGAAGGGGAAAAGTATAATTATAGTATAACCGCCAAACGCAGAAGTCTATGTTATGTATAATTATTCCCTGTGTTGTTTACAGATAGGCTGCAGTCTGTATTAACCGCTAGCTAAGCAGTGCATTGTGAGATTCTTGTGGGACCTTTCATTGGCAGTTGTTCTCCTGGCACACACTACAGATTGTAAAACTGCATTGGATAACACACGTAGAAAGACACCGTTGAATTCTATTTACCCTGAAACACCTTGTTTTCTGATTTATCAAACTGACACCTTTTATCAGAACCATAACGGATCGGCGGTCGATATGGCTTTTAAATACCAGCCAGAGTTATATGCTTGCAAGGGAATTCACATCCCTGAACTGCAGGGTAGGAAGCCTGGTAGATTATTATTATTTGTAAAGCGCCAACAAATTCCGTTGCGCTGTCCAATGGGTGGACTAACAGACAAGTGTTTTTAACCAGACGAGTTGGACGCGCAGGAACAGAGAATGTTGAGGGCCCTCAAACTTGCATTTTAGAGGGACTGGGTTTGTACTTGTTATAGTGTCCACTGGTTTGGTAGGGATTGATCTGTGCCAGTAATAGGCCACTAATACCCAAACACAGATTTGGTCTCATTGTATGACCTGCCTGCAGGCTTTAGCAAGTGTACATGGTGACTTGTATATATAAAGAATATACGGAGTAGAGCCAGGTTTTTCCAGGGCATCTAAAACTAATATTATGACTCAGAGTAACCTGAATTCCAGACCCCCTTATGTACAAAGAAGTCTCTCTTACCTTTTATGTCTTAGGCTATTTCATTATATATTTTCTCCTTCCTTTGTGCTTCTTTGTTCTGTTGGTGCTTTCATTTTTTATCCCTTTTTAGCGATATTACATAAAAATGTAACCTTTTGAATGGTTTATTCCATTCTGTTTACCATCTTGATTTTTGTTTAATTCATGTTTTTTCGTCAGCTCATCCATATCTCTTTTGTGGTGTAATTTTTCCCTTCTCCGAGCTTTGTGGAGGTCATTCGATCTTTATGGGCACTGCTTTGGCAACAGTTTGTAGTTGGCTCTGACTATACCTGACACACACGAAATGTGACCTCAGGACAACAACTCAGTCTTGACTATTGGTTTACTAAAGGCAGGTCAGGGCGTTTTATTTTTATATTCATTTAGACCTCAATTTCATATTGTTGGGTAAGCTTTTCACATGATTTAATAGTTTGGGGAAAACTTCTAAAATTCTTAGTTATTATGAAAAATATTAGAATTTTGTAATACATTTTTTATATATATATATATATATATTCATTTTTATATACATGACATATTTCTTGATAATTTAATATGTTAAAAAATAATTTCTAAAAGTTTATAAAAAAAAAAAAGTAATAATTATTTGGAAAACTTATCTAATAATAGTAAATTGAGGTCTTAGTCGGGTAAGATTTTTTTTCTTCTAGTTTTCTTTTTTACAACAAATGAGGTGAAATGTTCTAAAAATACAAGCTCTTCATAAAAAATTATATCTTCTTTTACTTCTTTTTTTGTTTACCTCTTTCTACCTGTCCCAGATTTCATCTGACGACACCCACGGTTTATATACCAAGAAAATACCAAATGATATGAGAAATACTAATGCTGTTTTTTGCAGAATGTGTTTTGATAAATTATATTAAAGGGACACTATAGTCATCAAAACAACTTTAGCTTAATGAAGCAGTTTTGGTGTATAGATCATGCCCATACAAACCCACTGCTTAATTCTCTGCCATTTAGGGGTTAAATCACTTTGTTTATATAGCCCTAGGCACACCTCCCTGCATGTGACTTATAGCCTTCATAAACACTTCCTGTAAAGAGTCATCTAATGTTTACACTTCCTTTATTGCAAATTCTGTTTAATTTAGAATTTCTCATATCCTGCTCTGATAATAGCTTGCTAGACCCTACAGGAGCCTCCTGTATGTAATTAAAGTTTTTAAAGTTGCATCTGATTGAAGAAGAAACCCATTTTGTTTTTGATGCAGGCTGTGTCAGTCACATCCAGGGGAGGTGTGGCTAGGGCTGCATAAAGAGAAACAAACGTGATTTAACTCCTAAATGGCAGAGAATTCAGCAGTGAGACTTCATAGGCATGATCTACACACAAAAACTGCTCCATTAAGCTCAAGTTGTTTTGGTAACTGTAGTGTCTCTTTAACGTTTTCAAATGGACTGCTTTTACAGAGTGACACATATGTCCTGACCTGCTGTACTAAAAAAGATGCATTTAAAATGTTACTGTCTCTGTGTGTTTGCCCGAATGATGCTATAATGTATCTGTGTTCGTAAGAGTGTTTCTATGCCATCATTAATAATGGTGTGGTGTTAAATGACACTGCTTAGGTTAATGGGGGCTTAATAGCTGTCAGGGGTATCTGCAGTCAATATGTTGTATACTGTTACTCCCATTAATCTCAGCCAGCCCGAGAGTGATGTGATTTAAAGCCGGCAGATTTTTCAATATGCACTCAAGGTTAAAAGACCACTGCACTTTCACATGCACCACTGTATCTCCATGTCACACTACTGTACTTCTACCGATACAATCTCAATACTTTTAGGATTACAGTACTAAGCTCTATTGTTACTGTGCTCAGCTAAATGTTGTGCCATTTTACAGGGCTGTTCACTAACGCGAGAATTTAAAGTGAATTCAATGTCAAATTCAAATTTAGTCAAAATAGCTCATCTGTAAATATTCCCAAAGTCAACCATGCTGTCAGTTAGGCTACTCTGGCCTTAACTTTAAAATGCTCTTTGAATTCACTTTAAATTCTCAGTATGGTAAATTATCCCGAAAGTGTCACTATAATAACACTCAGCAATTTAAACTCAACTTTTTTTTAAATATGATCCAGAGACACTGCCCCCCCACCACCCCACCCCCCAAACACACACACACATCCCACACACACTTTAAAGATGAACTTCTTTTGAATGTGTTGGGAAACCCAATCTCAGAAGAGTTAATAAATATATATAACCCTTACTTTCTGTAGTGGATTACCAGCCTCTCCATCCACAGAAAACCGGTATTATTTCTCCATTAACAATAACCACTCGTTCATTAGAAAATGCATTATGGAAGAAGTAAAATCACAAAAGTAAGAAAAACGCACACACTGTGTTGGGGTGTTACTGATTTTTTCTTTTTGTACCATTTTAGATTTGGAATAATTATTTGTTTTGCTCTCTTTTCCCCCACAAATTTCACAGCCATGAACCATTTAAGACATTGTCAGTGATGTACGAGTTTGATGCCTCATTATGTCGGTCGTCGGCAAGAAAATAAAAGAATAAATGACGTTTGTACGGTTGGGTGGTGATTAGGAGGATGATAACGTGTGCTACATATTCAGAGGTAAATATGTTACAGTCTAGGGGGTAACATGTTGCAAACATTCAACACAGCTATTTACAGATAGCTTTATTCATTTTGTTTTAAGAATTCACACATCGGTGTGCTAAGTTACCTGCATATTATATGCAAATAAATAAAACCAGCTATTGCTAGGTGATAAACCTAGCTGTAGCTCAGAGATACCACTAGCTGCAGCTAGGAGATAGGAAGATCACACCAGCGGTAGTTACAAAGTAACACCGTCTACAGCTAAAACCTAGAGCCAGATATAGCCAGCTAACACCAGCTATAGTGTGGAGATTATGCCATGAGGATGATAACTATAGTTGGTAATAAGTAGCACCAGCTTTCATGTGGATACATTACCAACTGTTGTTGCTCATAACTGCTGCAATAGCTTGGTGAGAGCTCTAATCATAGCTAGTGGTAAGTAGGACCAGCTAGGTGACATTTTTCATACAATCGTAAGGTTTAGCAATAGCTATTGTAGAGGCCAGAATTAAACATCATAGAAATGCTTAATCAGTGCTTTGTAATCTTTGGGTTTGTAAGGGTATTTTCTTAACTCTTATTGGGTCTTTGCGCACCAAGAATCGACATAGAGTTCTTCTGGCCCCCGGTTTAATTAAATACTTTGTGGAATTTTTTTATTTGTTGAGATTAGGATGGACAGAGTCTTCTTTGGTCTTAGAAAATGATGATTTAGCTTTGATGTCTTATCAGGGAGTTTATAATACTGAATCATGCCCAAAACAACTGGATTTTTCCTAATTTGTGGGTTACAATCATATTTAGTAATTGAAGGAGAGATTAAATTTCAAGAATTCATACAAAAATATTTTGTTGATAAAGTCAGATTTTTGACATGTATATAAACTAGTTAGATGCTAACGATTTAATCAGCGACTGTTTAGTCATCGTCATCATCGTCATCATCGTCGTCATCATCATCGTCATCGTCGTCGTCGTCATCGTCGTCATCATCATCGTCGTCATCATCATCGTCGTCATCATCATCATCATCGTCGTCATCATCGTCTTCTGTGTTGATATCACCATCCAAAACATCTTCAATCCAGTCTTCCAGTTCATCTACTGTGGGTAAATCCTCTTCATCATCCATGTCCATCCAGACACTATCGGCCTATGAATCAAATGGAAAACATGTTAGTTTCTAAATCTGAAGCTTTCAGAACATATAAATCTGTATAATATCACTTTAGGAAAATATTACTATATAATTTCAATTGACTTAAATTTTCACTATGAAGGCTTTTTCAAAGCACCATGACTATGTCAGTGATTTGAAGTAGTCATAATGCCTGCAGTCTCCATGTGCAGCGCTTCGCTATGAGATTAACCCCAGCATCATTTGCCAGCATAGAACAAAGTTCCGGGTAAATTATGTAACTTCTGTGCAAAATTGGCATTTGACACCAGCACACAAGGAATACTGGCACAAGACAGTCCATGGTAGCACACTTCCAAATCCTGTGCCACACCTGTCCTCCCCTTAGTAGTTCCTCTCTGACCTACCTTCACCTCTGGCGAGGAGAAGTGACATCAGTCAAGGTGTATTGGCTGAGGGGAGAACTTGGTGATGGAACGGAGATACGTTTTAGTGTTTCTGTTGGTTGCATGCCCCAGAGGGCATGCAGAGTCCTCTATGCTAGCAGCTGAGCCAGAGATACTCTTGGGGACCAGCACAGGCAGCCGCCTTAGGGCACAATTGCAGGGTGGCTTAGTGTCCGAGAATACTGCTGCGCCGATCTAAATTGACAATATATTATGTATACAAAAAAGTCCCTGGTGGTCAGGTGGTAGAGAACATGGTTGGCAATTCCACCTGATGCAGACCATGTTAATTGCTCCCTTGCTGTTTCATGCACTCCACCACCAAACCACCAGGGAATTGTTATTAAAACCACTGGATCACCAGCAATTTATTATTATCTTCAGTGAATCACCAGGAATTTATTATTGCCCTTACTGGCCTTGTTAACGAATAAACACATTCCAGAGTTTATGTTATTGGGGGTTGTCAGTTGACCCCAGACTGACAAGAACCAGAATAACATTTTGAGTTCTGGGTCTGATGTGAGTTTCAGGAATAGGACACATGGAAAGCCCAGAGGACAAATAAATTACTCTTTAACATCCAACAGTTGGATTGTGAATATATTTTGTTGCACTATTAAGGATTGAGGGAGGTCCTATCAGTATTACATATTTTGGTACAAGCACACCTGTGTTACTGGGCCAGGGGAGTGACACCATATGACAGCATTTCCTGACAAATCTGGGCAGAAGATAAGCAAGATCTTCAGATTTGCAACAGGGCAACAAGAGGTACAGATTTGGAACTTTACCTTGTGTTGCCATGTTATAGCCATACATAGGTGTCTCATGCAGGCATCTAGAAGTTGTTCTCGGGATGACAAAGAGAGTTTGTCCACCCTCCGCACTAAACTGGGCTATCAACCCAGTGTAGCCTCGTAAGCATGTTGCCTAGAGATCTATCTTCCCCTGTGTTTTATTTGTATCTATTGTACTAAAATATATTTAAATGCAGTCTGTTACACAGTTTTTAATTAATTGTGCATTAATTATCAAGTATAAAGAGAATCGACAAAGTTAGCAATAAGATTCCATGTTGACAGTTCGCTCTCTCCTCCCGGTGCATTTTCCTTTTTGCTTCTCCCCTTTGTACATTGAGACTTATAGGCTCCTGTGATTTTCTACAGGGATGAAGCCACGAAATACATCTTTCTTTTCTGATACCGAGAGCCAGATTGTTGTGAAGTTGATTCAGCGGAAGAGGAGGAACAGCATGGGAGCATATTTTATTTCATTTTGCTATCATGCTGGACACAAAACCAACCCTCTGTGAATGCTGGTGTGGCAGGGAAGCTGTTAATAACAACATGGTAACAACAAACCCTAGGCACCAGGTCGCCATGGTGACTAGAAATCGTCTCCTTGCACCCAGGGAATATTGTGTGCATAAGACGAGAATACAGCATTGTGCGTGTATCTGTGACTGCCTGTTATCCACATAGATGCAGATGGCATGTGGGACAATGAGATACATGCATCATGATATACCAGTGCTGCTCCAAGCCTGATGCCTGCTAATTCCTACCAGCCCCTCTTCTGCACAACCTCTTCTCCCACCATGTTACAGTAGTTGCCCGGTGGAGGTTTAGGAGGTCTGGGAGGTAGTCTGTCTGGCCCAGGATTAGCACTTTGCTCTGTATTTGAAATACAGGACTATCTTCGGTCTAGATATGTAGACTGTGTGTATGTTAATACTTTGTGTTATATACGTTTAGTTATAATTATGGGTGCCACCATGCCAGACAGATGGTGTATGTGTTGAGGATGCCAGACGGACTTTGCATGTGTCATGTAGTTGGATGTAGGTGATAGCTGATCACTGTATATAGTTAATTAAGTCCCAGTCCAGTGTAGGTAATTGGTAGGTGCCATGTGGCACAGGATGTTTTGCTTTGGCATTTTTTGACTGGCTCCTTAAGTTCTGGCTAAAATGATCTGTCCTTCTTTCTTGTAGAAAGGTTGTATATCCCTTGTAACAACAGAAGCCAATACCCAAAAATGTTTTCATATATGGGAACACAATATATAGTTTCTTCAGACTTGGCTACCTGATGTCATATCAAGACATTGGAATCTTCCAGTTGGTACATGACAAGAAATTTGCCAGGCCAGAATGCCTCAACCCTTCTTAGATGCCCCTTACTAAAAGCAAACATGTTAATTTTGTGCATAGAATGTGAGTGTTTTTGTTAGAACTTATAGTTTTTTTTTTATTTGTACATCATCCCACCTCCAACAACTTGTTAGTTATAGTTGAAAGTGACCTCAAAAATAGACAGTGTTTGAAATCCAACAGTCTCTATGGTTTCCCTACATCTGTGCAGAAAGTGAAGTAGATATGGCCATAGAGACTAACTGTCAGTCTTCAAACACCGTCTGACCCAAGGTGCATGCATATAGTTGAAGGATCCTTCCGTATAATAAAGGTAGGGTGAGTTTTTCATATAATTAATTAAAAATAATTTTGAAAAACATTTCCTTTTAAGACTTGATAATAGGATTATTATATTAAAAAATAGCTTTGAGGTGACCGTTGTCCATTAAGGCAACCTGTTGTTTTGCATCTATTAACAGAATATTTGCTCTAAAAAACATAGTTATTAAATAAACATGATTCTGCGTACATGCTTTGTAGTGCTATTTGTATATGCACCTAATTTATACCTGCACATTTAAATGGACTCTAGTGAATAGACTCTAGAATGAACTCCAATGTATGGATTCTGGTGAAGAGCAGATGTTGGCATTCCGACCATATGCTTTTTACGGATATCAAGGAAAACTGTATTGAACTTTGAAGGATGTAGTCTAATAAATTAATACAAATCTTAGCAATCTAATATATTGTGGGCGTGGCTGGATTCGTTTACCTTGTCCAATTGTTGCTTGAATCCATTAATCTTTTTTCTGACTTGTGATAGTAATTTTAAAGAATTTAGTCTGTCTGCCTGTGTTTTATTGTCAAATCATATTTGGATTGAGCAGGACTGGCTGGCCAGCTACAGTGTCAAACAGCATCACAGGAGTCGAGGAAACAGCAGTAATTATATTCCAGTAAAAAGGAAGCAGTCGCAGATTGGAATAAAAGGGGCTCGGGATAAATAGAAAGTACAATAAGGCAGTCAGAGAAAAAAAAGATTCTGCTAATGCTTTCATCGGGCATTCTGAATGGTACAGAAGCTAAGGGTAAATCAAATGTGTATTTTAAGTGTCACTGAAGGAAATGAATAAGCATCTCAAAAGAGAGACAAGTTACCAGCAGGGAGTCTTGAAAGGAGAAATATGGGTAATTTTAAAAGCTGATGGAGTCGAGGGAGGGGAGGGAGGGAATTGAGTGGTTTGCTAAATAAAATAAAGGTGGGAAAGCCAGGGAAAACAAATTGCATAGGTGAGTCATTTTGGAGCTGATGTGATTCTACACAACTTAAGAATGTAGATGATGGACATTGAATCGAAGATGCTGGGAGCATAATCACTAATTTGGCTTTAATCTAATTGTAGAAGAGTAAAGGAGTTTACAGACAGGCAGATGACTTTACCTCCAAACTTGAAAGTGCCAATTGTGGGCACAGGACGTGTTTGCTCTTCCAGTTGGGCATGCATGCCAACCTGCTAGCTCTTACACATATGCAGAGCCTTCTAAAATGCTCCCACACAGAGAACCCATGAGTTATGAACCACATTTGGCCAATGTATACTCATACATAGTCAGACTTACGTAGGCAGGTTTAGTTAGTTATAAGCATGCTTATGGTTGCAATCTATATAGATGTTTTGCTATCTTCAATCCATCTTCTTCTATCTGTGCCTTAACCATAGATAGAACAGTACTTACATCTGTCACATTCACCACACCAATATGAGGTCGAGAGAGGTCAATCCCAAACGTCTCCTCCCAGTATGGAATCAGCTAAAAGACAGGGACGACATAAAATTAGATTGATAAGGTGGTAAATGAATTGATAGTAGGTATTATTAGGTGGTAAGACACATTACATCTTACAGTTAGTCACTGAAGCCTTAAATAAAAATTCAAAAATCGTAATGAACATTTACCTGAAGAATTTCAACTGGGTAGTTATTACAGTGTTGACTTCAATTGTACTTTTGGAAGAAGAGCAGATTTTTCATTGAATCCATGACATAAGTCATAAAATAATTGAAGAATCATAATGCTTGTGTCTTAACCATTTACATATAAAAAAGGATTGCTTTGTCCGATATGTCTCACTCAAATTAATCATTGTTCCTTGCTTTTGCTTTGTGGGGTTTGACAAAGTATAATAGCCTTCACACCGAGAAATAACTAATGTAATTCAATAAGTAGCTATTTCTCATAAAAATCATATTTCGATTAATAGTTTCAAAATGTGGCATGATAACTAGTAATATCTCACCAATGGGAAATCCTCTGGGTCAATCCAAATAATGCTCAGGTCTGGGTTATCTGTGTTGTCTTCTGCGACTTCTTTGATGATCTCCAGGAATTCATAACCATCTGTTTCAAGACAAAAGCATGGTTAGTTAAGTAACCTTACTAGATCCCATAAAATTATTTATGTCCCCTACGACAGGTGTAGCCAACCTGTGCCCTCTGCAGGTTGATCGCACAAGGTAGGCCAGCCACTTCACCAAGTCTTGTCAATAAATATTTTGATCCAGGACTTAAATTGGATCTCTCACTATTTTTTTTTTAATTGGTACTTTTTGTCAAACACTCTTTAGCCTGTGTTTAGAATGTTTTGGTTTAAAACTGTATCCTTAATAGTGAATTACATAGGGTAGTAAGCTTTTAACTGATTCCCCCCTTTCAGAACCAAGTAAGCTGGGGCTAGGGTGGGCATTTAATTTGTGGAGGTAAATCACCCTAAAGTATAGGAAACCTGTGTGCTCATCAGCTGTTGCGTTTATTTACACCTCTACTTCACAATGTTCTAAAACTAAGAATGTTGTCTCCCAGTGGCAAATCACCTGGATCGTCCTCTTCTGCGAAGGCTACAATGTGGATTCCGTTCAAATCGTCTTCCTGTTAACAAAACAAATAGAAATATCAGTAGACTCTCCCTGAACTTGGTTCCCCAATTACATCTAAAATATTTGGTTTATTGATAAAAATCTGGAAAAAAATTTGTGAATTGCAAATCGTAGTCAAAAATATCCAAATGTGAAAAATGTGAATACTCTCCACAGTCTTTTTGTTAAAAATTGTAAGTTGAATTCTGAGAATGGTTACTTCCATAGAAATTTCTGAATTAAACTGAATTAAAGATTTTAAATCACATGTAACTTGTATTAACGTGGTTCTCCTTTTTCTTTTATATGTACATTAAACATTTTGCAAGTAACCCTTTAAGGACACATGACAGAATGTTTCCGTCCCTTGTACGTCTGTAGCTGTGTCCTTAAAGGAATAATATAACAATCCAGTTCAATCTAGGCACCGCCAGGGCACACATTACACTAGGGGAGGAATAGAAACCTTATTTAATTTCTCCTCTTTTCTGTATGCTTTCTGCCATGTGCAAAGGTCAGAGCTTCTATTTAAGATGGAGGCACAGAGCTACAGGATAAAATGGTGGGGATTTCTGCCTTTTTGTTTCACACAAAATTTAGGTTAAAAACACACACACACACACACACACACACCCTCAGCTGTTTTATATTTGTTTGTTTGAAAATGTAATATACATTTGACATTTCCACCAAATCTAAATCTCTTCTGCCTTCCATCTATTTGAAGATCCCCTACCATTAATTCATGAAAATTGGACTGAAAAACATGGGATTTAACACATCCCAATTTGAAGGATGCGATTGTGAACGTAAATGCTTTTCATTTGGTGGGCTGGGGTTGAATAATTACTACTAATGGGACGTCCAAGGCAGGAAATGAAGTGATGATGTATTCAAGCCTCTTGTGGAAGGTTTCAAGTGGTGGAGTTAAAGGCAGGCTTAAGTGTCTAAGCAGAGGTTGCTGAACACATGATTAATCTTGGTCAATCTGAATTTCACACCCGTCATTACAGTGCTATCAAGCTCTTTGGAGACGTCAGTCTGGTTCGTCTCGTTCCTGGATCTATTAAACTTTGAGTTGCCATGGAAACCTAATGCTGACAATACTTCACTCCTGGGTTACTAGGCACTCATGCACTCCCCTAAGGCTTCTCACAGCCCTAATACTGGCACTTTAAGTAATGAAAGAATAATTTGTACTATTAGCAAAATGGTATGGACAAAATAAGGGTCTACTGCATCTCTACTCCAGCGGCCAAGGGTTAGAATATGTTCGTGGTTTAGTGTAGGTGTATTCGATGATGGCACGTCTGTGCCTTTCTTTGTCATTGAATCTTGGATTGCTCAGGCAGTTTTAAAGATGTGAACATGGTTTTAACTTATTTCTTAGAGGAAGATGCCTTCAATTTAAATATTTTTTTTTGTGGTCTATTAGCGAACAGTAGTGTGTGCTTGCTCCCTCCTGAAGATGATGCCATTTTAATAGACTAGATTATAAAGCATATCAAGTTTAATTTATTAATTAAAATGTACCACTCAAAGATTTTCTTGAAGAAAATAATGGATTTTTTTTTAGGGTGCTGTGAAGCCCAAAGCTTCAGTCTTTCATTTTGACTCTTGGTTATGTATAAGGTGAGTGTTACATTGACCAGCAGAACTCGGTTGTCTCAGGGCCCCAGTGAAGCAATGGAGGCTGGTTTGCAGCAGTCGTGGCACCTGTGGCACCCAGCTGCCCGCTGGTATGGAGTTCACAGCTGTCGCACCATCTTATCGAGATAGAGACTTCCATGCAGGACCATCAGCCAACATGTCGGAATGGGGCAGAGGTGACACTGGGTGTGACACTGAGCAGAGGAGGAACAGTGATGCAGCCAAGGAGTTGCTGAGTCCCAGGATGTCACTTTTGGCCTAGTGGTAACTCCGCCTACAGCAGGGTAGGCATCTATTTAAACCCAGTGTGCGCGCCTTCAGCAGTTGTTTTACTGTTGTAATCTGCTGCACTGCTCTGATTGGCTGGAACTCGGGAGACAGCTTCTCGGAGTCTAGGTCGCTTTGCATTGTAGCTCTGGATTTTCCTCATTTACCTTGACCTTCTCGGCATAAAAACTCACTGTGCTATGCTGTGTTTATCCATTTATCACTGAGCTCCACAGTTGAAAAAAAAAGCCCTTGTTGTGCTACATGGTGTGTACCAGTATATCACAGAACTCCACAACATTAAAACTCACAGTAAGGCCCGATCGGACACAAACCCGCAGTGCTCCGTTAGCAGTACCTACAATTGCCTGATTCCGAGCTTCACAATTCGATTCCCGGCAGTGCCGTGGGGGTGATAGTGCCCCTAACACTATGGGAAGGAAGAACAAAAAGCCGTGGCTGGATCGTCCACGCTTCACGGTGGATATAGGGGACCTGCTGCGAAGGCCGCATGGCTGAGTCAGCCCTGAAATGGAGGCCGAACTCCATGATATCTCTGACCTCTCAGATGACTCCCCCCTTTACAACCCAGACACTCTGGGATACACAGGGCCACCCAAACTCTCACAACCAACTGCAACCTTATCTCCCCCTGTCACTATGGAGATACTAACCAGCCTCCTGTCTGTTCTTTGCCAGACACTCGCAGCAGAAATCTCCCAGGTAAGGGAAGGTGTAAGGGGGTTCACCGCACGCCTCACAGCTGTCTAGAACTCCAGTGGCAGGTCAGTGACCTTACTTCAGCTCAAACCACTTTTATGCACCAATTGGCTGCTCTGGAGGACAGGTACGAGTGATCTACTCATCCAATTCCAAAACGGGCAAGACAAGGCTGCCTTCCTAAATGCCACCAGGGGTAAGACACCATACCGTTTTGAAGGCATGGAACTCAGCTTCCCTCTAACTCCTGACACCAATCCTATCTAACAAAGGAGTGAAGTACAGATGGGGATCACCTTGTGTACTTCCAGTCCAGCACTAGCATACAGATGCATCGGAAATAGACGCTATCCTGGCAACCAAAGGCCTCAGCCCTTCCTCTCCTCCCACAATCACAACCTGAGACCCAGCGAATGCTGCCCCGTTTGTTCCAGCACGCAGCAGCACATCTGGAATGGCGATCACCTAACTTACTAGAATTCATTTTTTAAATTTTTTTCTCTTATTTGTGTTCTCTTATTTTTCTATATGTTGGCCCTTGTTATTTCTATGTTTTCATATTCTTAGGTTGTCTACGGGCATGCCTTAGAGGCCTAACCTGGCCGAAACCAGGATTACCCTGGATATACTAGCTCCAATACCACCATCTACCCCCCTCCACCCCCAGCTCCTGTCATGTTATCGTACACTCACCTCTATTTAGATGAGCTGTCTCCTATCTCACCATAGCCTCACTCGTTCGATTTAATCATTTTGTTACCCTAATCATACTTTGTTGTTGATGTGAATATGCCCCTAACCTGATAAGATTTTCCCCTAGGTGCTCACACGGCAATTCTCATGGTTAGAACGAGAGTTATCTGGATACAATGCCAACACTTCATTTCCTGAATTTCTGTTTTTGCTGTAACGTTTATTGCAATGTCTAAGACATATCTGACTATGGATAAAATAAAGAATTAAAATAAAGAAATAATGAACTCTAATGTCACCTAGCTCTCCAACTATACAACACAGAATAATGTGTACTTTGTATGACAGAGCTCCACTGTAAAAAAACATCTCATAATAATATGATGTAATGTGTATTTTGTATGACTGAGTACCACTGTAATAAATCATACAATAATATGATGTAATGTGTGTGTGTGTGTATGTTTGTTGTCTGTGTATAATAGATGTGATCTCTGTGTGTGATGTGTATGCTGTATGTTGGCTGTGTGTGATATTTGTTATGGGTGTATTGACTGTGTGTGATGAGCATTTATTTCAGATAATATGCATGTAGGCCCATGTGTGAATGCTGGTGTGTATTTTTGCAGTGTCACATGCACACTGTCTCGCTGTCGGATGTACACAGATATACACATATTCTGTTAAAAACATCCACAGACATGGTCCTAGTCACACACACAGTTACAGGCAGTCACACACACAAGTAATGGCAGTCACACACAGTTACAGGTAGTCACACAAACAGTTACAGGTAGCAACACACACAGGTACAGACAGACTGTCATACACACAGTTACAGGTAGCTACACACACACACAGTTACAAAGAGTCATACACTCAGTTACAAGCAGTCACAAACACAGTTACCTCTTTCCATTTTTGGGCACTGGGTAAGGGATGGAGGCACTGCCTTCACTAGTGTCTAGTGGTTGGGGAAGCAAGGATGCCTTTCTGCTTCACTATCCGTGTGCAGCAGCGATTTCAGGCCACATTTAGCTCCACCCCCACTGCCCATTTAGCTTTGCCCCGCTGCCTGTATCAGGTTCTCTGCAATACTCGGGTGGAGGATAATGAAAACCTGAACCCGGGTTCCACGTGGCCACACTACTTATCGCGACCTGCAACTGCACAACTTGCACACTCCTAAAGCCGGCCCTGCCACCTGACTCGATTTCTCACTGACTGCCATAATTTTCAGACATCTTAACTTAGCTTTTTCACTTTTGATCCTATTGAATACGTCACCACAGATATTTAGTGATAATATTTCCCCTGTGCCACCACAGACCCATGAAGACCTCTCTCCACCTTCAGGGTTGCCCCCGGAGGGTTGTTCTGCTTCATTTGAATTCCAAACCACCAACAGACCTCTGATGGGTTGTCACAATGGAATATGGAGATTTGCATAAACCATTTATGGCCATCAGTAGATACATAGATATTGTAGAACTGCATCTACCACAACCCACCTAGATATCTAACTTTGACCTCCCCTTGCATAAACATTCCTATACTGCCTTTGGTGGAACTTGCTATTCTTTAGTGAAATATATGAACCTTCCTATGGATGAAAAAATTATTGATCTCCTTACAGTGATGTGGATGTATTGTCGGGGTGTCCACAATTCTCTATGAGTGGAACATGTCATGAAAGCCAAGAGGCTTCTCTATTTTTTGTGCTTGACATATGACATGGAAGTTTGTGTTTTGAAATGTTTGGCAAAACTGAGGAGCTAAGTGACAACAAGCTTAAATGTTGTCCTTTTTCAGCAGGTGATACAACCAATGTCCTATGTAATATATGTATTTAACTAAATGCCTGTTTCTGGACACTTACCCAGGTTTCATACATACTGTCTGGCCGTAGCTTCCTCAGTGTTGGTCTAAAGAAAGAAGAAATTGATTTAGTAAATATTCAGTAGGTGCAGTTTACCAACAACCTAGGAGATGAACATTTTTGACAGAAGTTACCCCTATGATCCTATAATAAACAGATTCTGCATTGGTCCGGCAGAGCTATGTTTTACTCCGTCACCAGCAATAAATGGGCCCACATTCCTTTTAGCAGTTTAAAAAGGAAAGGTAGGAAAATAACCAGTTTATATTAAAAAGATGTCAAAAAAATATTCTGCACTTTTTTTTTAAATTTACCTAAAGTGATTGTAAACTTCATGGCCAACTATACATTCATTAAGCTATTCATTTTATTTTAATCAAATACTTGTCTCCTTTGGCACAGGTTGGCACACAATGCAAATGTCAAAATGCCCCAAGAGCCCTTGAATGCACGTGCACACACAAGTAATCGTGAAAAAAATAAAAGGTTTCCCAGCACATGTGTACTTGAAAAACATTTCAGGAAGATGACAGAGCTTGTTTGCAGCAAAGGTAAGACTATTTCATATTTACTTGTGTTCCACACCACGCCCCAACAAATGTCCCAGTAACCTTTACAATTGTGAGGACAGGAGCAACTGTCAAGAGAAAGGTGCTAGATTTTTGTTTAATAATTGAGAGCCTAAAAAACTGACCACAAGGACTTGCGGGAAAGAACGTTCTGTTCCCTCTTCCCTTTGGTTACCATGACAGTCCTCTGTTCTCTGTACGAAGGACCCATTTTAAAGTTCCCTTTAGAAGCCTGCTTATTAAACCCTTTGAATAAAATCTGGGTCACACGTAGCTCACATGAACGCATCGGCCTAGTTAAATTAGAGTGACGTACTGATTATACTGTGAGTCATAATGTTCCCATATTTCACCTGCCTTGTTTTCAATAATTTTGGACATTATATAAATTATATTTGAGAATGTCTTTCTATAACCATATTTTTTTCTGCCACAGAACATTTACAAACCACACACAAAGATACACAGTAAATGCAATCACATTTATGCACTATACTGACCAAATCACTAGTACTTGTTACTTACACTACCATCACTACTAATAAGATCAAGCGAAGAGGGGGCATTTGTACCTCCACCCAAAAATGTTATCCAAATCACTCTCTCACCTGCCTAATCATTAATTAAATTTGTGCGTCTGTAGCCCAGACAAAGTAATTGTCGCACTGAGTAATATTTGTTGGTCTGTTGCCCCGTTCCACCCTGTAGACTGATAACTTGTCTGTTACACCTGGTTCAGAACTACTGAATACTGGGCTACCTTTTTTTAAGTCAACCGAGATAGCTGTAGAGAGTTCAGGAAGTTATAATATCAGGCTTATTCAGTAAAGTGAGAATTCAAAGTGGATTTTCAGCTTATAGTCACCAGAACAACTACAGCCTAATGTAGAGGTTCTGGTGTCTTTAGAAAAGCATTGAATTGGCTGAGATCATCAATTCTGATGATCTCAGCCAAGGAGTCGGATTGGGGGAGGGGCCATCACCGACAGTCCTGTGCGGCACTGCAATAAAGGGGAGTTTTTACCCTATTTAAGGTGGGCAATGGGGGGACGGGGACAGCCACTTAACATTTTTTTTTTTAACACTATAGGGTCAGGAATACACGTTTAGTGTTTAGTGTTTAGAATAGTGTTTCTTTAAAGGCCAAGTAGCACAACTGTAATTATAGCGGATTTAGATAATTTTTCCAGTCAATTTTGAAATTCACTTTAAGCTCAGTTTGTATTCGCACTTTGTATTCTCAGGGAAAAACGCTGTAAATGTTGCTCTAATTTAGTGTAAAGGGTTAAATCCCGCTCTCGTGAGGTCCATAAGGCATACATGGAAGCGCCTTTTGACTTTAAGTTAATAACTGCAAAGAATCCTATTTCATTTTGTTATGATGCTTTTGGCTGTAATACTGTGAGCTGCTCATCCAGAAAGTAGCGCAAGGAAGAGAGAGAGAGAGAAAAAAAAAGAAGTAATATCACAAAAAAACCCCACAATAATAATGTTATTTGCTCAACGCACAGTTTAAAGGCCTCGCTGTCATAGCAACTGAAGTCTGTGAACTGCCAATATTTAAAGTGTGTGTCTTAGAAGCAGGCTTTCATCACACACGCTGAAAAACAACATGCAAGCATTGTCTGCCTGCTGCTGATTAACCCCTGCAGCACCCGTGTGCAAGATGGCCAAGAGATCCATCGACAAGTGTCTTCTAAAGGCCGTGATATTTATCCTCAATCAGAAACCTTGTGACTTGATGGGGTTTGAAGATTAATCAAAAATTACAAATCAAACACCCCAGTTAAAGCAGCACTGTCAGCGTCTGGGGACTTTGCATTATTTGCAAAACCCCCCGATGGTGACATCGCCAATGAGGGTGGGGGAGGCGGGGGCAGGCAAAGCTGAACGTAACGTCTCTGAACCTGTCCCTCACAGACATGTTCTTTTGACTGGACCACGTCGGCGCCAGGAGCCAATGTCATTGCTGTACTCTTGTGCATGCGCGAGTGTACAGCATTGAGGTCTATGGAAGATTCTGCAGTCCATAGATAAAGCCACGTCCCTCCAACCAACACTAGAGTCCCTACTTTGTATTAGTATCTCTTTTGACCGGGTTGGACTTTCACTGACATTTCAACAAAATCAAAATGAGTATTTCATAAAGATTGTATCATCTATATATGAAGTACTTATTTTGCAAGGGGGAAGAGGGGAGCCCAAATTAGCCATTATTTAGAATTTAGGACAGTGACTCTCATCCTTTTTTTTTTTTTTTTTTTAAAGGCATCCAGTTTATGTGCTCTGCATTAATTCAGGGACCCATTCTTTGATGGGATTTCAGCCCAAAATAGGGCATTTTCCCCTATAAAAGAGACACGTTTAAGTACATTTACATCATTGCACGTTATCAGTGTATACATCAATAATTAGGTCTACAATATCTGTTATAGAAATTCCTACTTTTGAGTAAAGAATCATTCTTGATGTTATGGACTCTATTAACCTGTATGTAGATAACTCATTAAAAAAATTCTCTTTTTTGGGGCATAGAATTAAGTAGTGACATATATAATGCGGGTTGATAATGACTCAGTGAAACACTTTATAACACACTAATGCTCTCATTATATTTTATTTTATTTCAGAGACAATCTGTATAAATATAATAATCAATTAATAAAGGTTACATTTTATCTTTTACGAACCACTCTAGTGAGATACGACCCTTACCAGGAAGACTTGTTTTAGTTATTAAAACATAGGAGAGGACTGTCTCACTGAGTATACCTTCCTACAAACCAATTTTCTACATCTCTATGCCTTGCTACTTTCCTTTAAAAATAAGCACTATGCAACCTAATAATTGTGAAAATTGCTATTTGAAAAGGCCTACAGCAGGTCACTCAGTCCTTTTCAACATGCCCAAAATTCCGAGATTATGTCATGCCACTCTCTGCCACTAATTTAAAAGGTTGGTGAGCGTCAGAGAAGGAATCTTCAAACCCAGAGACCCAGGTCACAATACTCTTTTACTCTCAAAAACTCATTACCCCGCTTGTGTCATTGTGACCCCACTAGTCCCTTGTGAACGTTGCTTTTGCTTAGTTCAATGTAAAGTGCACAATGTGCGACTAGAGTTTCGATTTAACATTTTTGATAAGCTTTTCAAATGATTTTGTGTTTATGGATATTTTTTTAAAATAGTTCAAAGGGACACTTCACTGCCTAACTATAAAATAAATACAAAGCGCTGCTTAGTTGATATAACCCAAATGAAGACTTGAATGCTTTTATTTATGCATTTATGTCATTGGGGATATATCTAAAACAGTTTGCAACACTGGCAGTTCTCATCTCTGCTGTCTTTGCAAGCCCTCCCCTTCTAACACCCGCCCAGACTTTCTTTGGCTGTCCAATCTCAGACTTCCCAATTCAGCTCAATGAGGCATTCTGAGTAATTGCTGTCTCTTGAGTTTAGCTCCAGTAAGCTAACCAAAGCAGGAAGTAACAGGACCTGTTCTCTGCTCGCAAGCCAAGGGGGTGTGACCAGATTAATTTATAAAAGTGTCAATTTCTGTTGAAATCTGCAATTTTTGCAAAATGAAAAAAAGAGGACACACTCTTGACACATAAAGCTTTCCAGCAAGCTAAAGTGCTTTAGGAGTCAGGAATGTCCCTTTAACCCCTTAAGGACCGGACTGTATTTGCGACCAGGCATCTTTTTACACTGTTTGTGTTTAGCTGTAATTTTCCGCTCTCTCATTTACTGTTCCCATACAAATTATATATTGTTTTTTTCAGGACAAAAGGGGCTTTCTTTACATACCATTATTTATATAATCTCATGTAACTTAATTTTAAAAAAATATGATGAAAAAATACCTGTTTTTTTATTTTTACTTGAAAAATCTTTTACTCATTTACAAAAGCGAATGAAAAAAACTGCTCAATAGATTCAAAATTTTGTCCTGAGTTTAAAAAGTTTACATGCTTTTTTTTTTTTGCATGTTATAGGGCTATAAGTACAAGTAGGATATTGCGGTTTCAAAACATACATTTTTAAAATTTATCAATAGTGACATTGTAACACTATTATCTGTCATAAATCTCTGAATAACACCCCACATGTACATATTTTTTTTAAAGTAGAAAACCCAGGGTATTCAATATGGGGTATGTCCAGACTTTTTTAGTAGCCACTTAGTCGAAAACACTGGCCAAAGTAAGCATTCATATTTGTTTGTGTGTGAAAAAAGTAAAAAAACTAAATTGAACGCTAATTTTGGCCAGTGTTTGTGACCAAGTGGTTACTAAAAAAGACTGGACATACCCCATTTGCAATACCTTGGGTTGTCTTCTTTTGCAAATGGTATGCCATCATGGGGGTAATTCTCATTCCTGGGCTACCATACGCTCTCAAAGGCAACGTAACCAACCTGGCCATTTTCAATGTAAAAATATTTGACCTATATATTTGACCCTATAACTTTCAAAAACGCTAGAAAACCTGTACATGGGGGGTACTGTTATACTCAGGAGACTTTGCTGAACACAAATATTAGTGTTTCAAAACTGGAAAACGTATCACAACAATTATATCATCAGTAAAAGTGCTGTTTGTGTGTGAAAAATGCAAAAAAAGTCACTTTCACTGACAATATCATCGCTGTGATATGTTTTACTGTTTTTAATCACTAATATTTGTGTTCAGCGAAGTCTCCCGAGTAAAACAGTACCCCCCATGTACAGGTTTTAGGGTGTCGTAGAATGTTACAGGGTAAAATACAGTGCTAGCAAATTAAATTCTCTGGACTTTCGGCCTGGGTTGGCAGGCAGGTCCCTCAAATTGCAATCAATAAAATTACTTAATTATGTAAAAATATTACATAAATACGCACATCGAAAAATAAACTACGTGTATATTTATATAATTATTTATGTAATTTTGTATATGGACATATGTATATTTTGTATTATTTTTATTTATTTATATATACATAGATATATATACAATTTCATTCTAAGTGTATTTTGATATAAATATATATATATTAATATCAAAATACAGTTCGAATAAAATTTCATATAGATATATAAATTTTTAAAAATATTTTATTATTATTTTTACATTTTTTAATTTAATTTAAATTACTTATTATTTGTATTTTATAATAATATATATATATACACAATATATATAGTTATTATATATATATTATATATATATACGTGTGTTATTTAATTATAAGTGTATTTTTATATTAATATAATTTACATATTAATATAAAAATACACTTAGTATGACATTATATATATGATATATAGACATATATTATATAGATATAATAAATGTCTATATATCATATTTATATACACATATATAATTATTTTTTTATTAACATTAACCTTTATTTTTTTTTATGATTTTACACTAGCAGGGAGACTGCCTGTCAGCACAGACAGTTACCCTGCAGGCAGACAAATGGACACCTACTGTGACCATGTGATCGCTCTGTTGAGCGAGCACATGGCCCCAGGGGTCCTAATCCACCATGGGGAGACTGTCTGGGCTGCAGGCAGTCTCCCCCACACTGTGAGTAACGTCGATCGCCCCCAGGGGAACGACGGCTATCGGGTAAGTACATAAGACCGTTAGGACGGTTCAGGACCGTCACCGGTCAGCAAGGCAAAAATGCCGATGACAGTCCTGTACCGTCCTCGGTCCTTAAGGGGTTAATATTTATAATAATAAATACAGTGGGACCTCGGTTTATGAATTTAATGCGTTCTCCGGGACATTTCCTATTGCAAAACATTTGTAAACCGAAACGCGGTTTCCCATAGGAATGCATTGAAAACCAATTAATCCGTTCTGGAGGTCAGAAATAAGTGAAAATGAGCTGGCATGGAAACCAACCCACAATGCAGAACACACAATAAAAGGCATGCAAACGACGAAGCTCAGCTCCCTACCTTTCCACAGCTTGAGAAATACACCAAAAAGTCCCAAAACAACTGCAAACAATTTCCAGAATGGCTCCAAAACTCTATGCAAAAGCCGCTCCAACACCTCCACACTCTACGCCACGTGCTACCCACAGGCTCCAGCATGCAGGGGCGGTGCTATAAACCTCCCAGGTGCAATGCATCCTGGGGAAACGTGTTTTGTATAGCGAAACAAATTTGTAAACCGAGGCATTATTATAAATGGATTTTCATTTGTAAACCGAAAATTATGTTAACCGAGGCGTTTGTAAACCGAGGTCCCACTGTATATATATTTAGATTAAATGTATTTAGGTTAAATGTATTATATTTATTTTTAAATAATTTTAAAAGCCTATACAAAATATTAAATGGGAACCTAGGATGGATAGATCCTGTACAGGAGGAAATATTCACACATCCTCTTGACCCAGATCACAATATTTGTATACGGTCATTAACCCCCATATATCTTTTGTTTTTTAATCTTGTTAAGTCTAACTTGCCTTCCTGCAAAGTGCCAATCAATTGTTTAATGGCATAATGACGCAAGCTTGTTTGTGTTTTAAAATAGCGGTCGTTCCAACTCCTGTGTATTCAATAGACGCTAAATAAGCACACAATTCTCTGTGAACACAACCCAAACTGTGAACTAATGACAAAATAACAGGGCATAGTTCTTATCGGAGAAACTATTGTTAATGAAATGGAGAAAATTGCATAGAAGTCAGAGAGTATGTTGTTTGCTTTAACACCATGATGTGTTTGTGTTTTGTTTTATTTATTTATTTTTTTAACTCTGCGATCTGCTTGATAAAATTATTCAGGTCTTTTAAAAGTCTGTTATTTGGGATAAAACAGGTGTTTTTTCCATTCTTTTTTTCAATGTATTCAATATTTTTTGAAATTTTACAGAAATGCAATTATAAAAACACACCAAAACACACACACATATGTACGTACAGGGTGTAGACATTTATAAAGAGCTTTCTTTCATTTTGGTGTAGCCCCGAAAACCACCATTTTAACCCCTTACGGACACATGACATGTGTGACATGTCATGATTCCCTTTTATTCCAGAAGTTTGGTCCTTAAGGGTTTAAGCTAGATAACTATGGTTTTAGACATACTTTTATATATATTCTGTCTGCACTACTATGAAAAAGGCACACGGAAATCCATTTCTATTTTATCTTTTTAGGCGTTATAATATAAATTCAGAAACAGATCTCAGGAGCTCGATAACATAATCTTGATATGCTCCATAGCAATATTGTAGATGTATTTTTGTGATTACTTGCTCATGTCTTTGTATATAATAATTATTCTTTGTATTTTGGTTTTATTTTTTTTGTACGTGTGTTTCTAAATTGCTACCAGTGAAAATGACTCTGTCTCTCAAACCGAGAGACGCACACCTGCTTATGGCTCATGGTGCTGAGGATTTAGTTTAGTACATTGAGGACATACAAAGAGCTGTCATCAAGATGCAGGAGCCAACCAACCTTGGCATTTCACCATAGGCACTTAGTCATAGGCTTAGGCCCGGAGACATTAACTCGTTATTATACCCATATTATATATTTGTATTGCTACTCTTTACGTCCACCCACTTACATCACATTTGTGACCATATGAATGTGCATAAACCTATCTGGCAACAATGGGGCACTTGTAGCGTTAGCAGTAGATTTGATAAGCAACGGGTTAAAGACACAGCCACGTAAGAGAACAAGAGAAAACATAAGAGAGATAAAAAATAGTTATCCCTATTAAGCTGAAGGTTTCTATAGCAGCTAAACTGTTTTCCTACGAACAGCTATGGCAAGTGCACCAATCAAGACGAACGTCTAGCCACCTGCTTTAGAAGATAGACGGATTCCATAAGACATCTTATCATAGTATCAGCAATGGGCACCCAGCAGAGACAGACAAAAAAGCACAAAGAAGCAAGAAGCAAGAAAGAGTATTTTAACACTCCGTGTCAGAAGGCTGCGGGGAACAACACTAATTACCTTTACTAGCTTCGTAAATAATGCTAATATACAAAGAGGCGCCTAAAAAACATGCTATTGAGAAAGGTGGTCGGTAAGTGGAGTGCCTGTGAATGGGATATATACCTCCTAGTCTATCCCCTGTGATCCCCCACTGGAATATTAATCATGGGTTTACACTGTTCTGCTAAATGTCTTACAAAAACCATTAGTTCTCTCTTTCTCTTTCTACATCCTTTTTTTCCTTGTCTATCTCTGTATTTTAGTATAAAAAAGTAATCTGGGTTGATAAACCTCTGACTATTAATTTGCGGATTGAAAGCATGTCTACAAGAGATCTCCTCATCCTTGATTACCTTCTGTGTGTCAGTAATAGGATATACCTACTGACGTACAAGGCTCTGCTTTTAGGATCTATAATAAATAGACCTCTTCTTGTCATTTAATTTTATTTATGGAGCTTCAGATACCCACACCTGATTCATTATCTCTTGTGTCTGAGCCCATGTTAGATCGAGTGCTATCGGTGACTAGTTTCTCTCTTGGTCTGAGATACACCATCGCAGAGTTCCGCTCTTAGAACATTTTCTCACCTCTTGTGCAAGTGCAGGAATTCTACAATCTCTTTTTCACTGTTGGGTTTATCGGGAATGGTGACGGGTTCATCATGGAAAGGCTCGTAGTAGTCAATCTCGTTCAGCTTGAGTGTCAGCTTCTTGGCAACCTACAGACGTGACACAAGTGAAAAGGACATTCATTGATCCTTTCCAATTTCCCCAGCATACTTTGGTTTATCAAGAAATATGGGTCGAATGAAATGCACAATGCTATCTATTCAGAAAAGGAATAGGCCGTCAAATTGTCAAATTTCACTAATATAATATTTAGGAAATTCTACTGAATTTATTCTCAGATGAACTTCAGTGTCACTCGCTGGGGAACTCAACTCATGGATCAGAGAGCGGTGAATTCGCAAAACACCTTTACCCAAGCAGGAACCAATTGCATTCGCGTATAGTCTATAGCAGGGGTAGGCAAGTTTGGCACTCTAGATGTTTTTGACTACATCACCCATAATGCTCGTGGAGCCATAATACTGGTACAGCATCATGGAAGATGTAGTTCACAACATCTGAAGTGCCGAAGGCTGCCTACCCCTGGTCTATGGCAATACCTCTTTGATACAAGAAAAAATAATAAGAATTTTTGCACCCATACTGGAACACGGGTATAGTATTAAGTGCTTACATTACGGCTAAGCCAAATATATATTGATAAGTGAAAGCAATATTGTGCGTCCAGTATTGTTTTAAAGTGGATTATAGAAAGATATTTGAAGGTGATAGTGTCACTTTAATTTTGTTAGGTGACCGACGACCTTGATTTAAAAAAAGGTGGTAGAAATAGGAAGGATTTTACATTCACTGAGCCTTACCTTGCTGTCAAAGGTAGCGAAAAATGGTATGTACGGATGGAATTCCTCTGCCGCATCTAAGTAGGCTTTGTAATCTGAAATCACAGATAAATAATAGCATTAACAACTGACAGTGCCCTCAACAGCTTTCATTGTCTATCTATAGATAGATTTATTTTATGGATCTGCATTATAACAAGATTCATTTAAAAAATACGTTAAAAATACTGTTTTTAAGGTCTACTGTTATCAAATTTACAGTTCTCAGACAGCCGACAGACAGACTCTCTGACCAGCCTCCGAGTTAGAAGATCATGCAGAGATTGCTGCCATAGCACTCTCTGCATGGTCCTAGTCCTTGTCGGACAGGGCAAGATGTACACATGCGGTGCTCCCTGGGGACAGAGAAACAAAATCAGGACCCTAAAATAGGGAGTGCCGAAATCAGGACAGGACTCTAAAATAGGGAGTGCCAAAATCAGGACAGGACCCTAAAATGGGGTGTGCCGAAATCAGGACAGAACCCTGAAATAGGGAGTGCCGAAATCAGGACAGTTGTGAGGCCTGCAGTAGATTGAGCAGAAGTTGATTACACAAACGTGACCTAACATGGCTGCTCAGTCAGATAAAAAAGTTAAACTAAAATCAATATATCATTAAAAAAAATATATTAAATGTCATCAAATGTAATAAAGGTTTAAAAAAATTAGCAGATAAAACTGAATGACCGTTCTTTAGAAAAAAACAAAAACAATTTAATCCACTTTTAAAAAAACACCTTTCGCCTAATTATAGTTAGCACGTGTGATAAAGAAGCGTGGAATCATGGTATAATTGCTGTGATTAATCGTTTGCACCATAGCTGGTGTGCACTACGATTCCCATGATGCTATGCTGCTATGTGGTGTATAGAAAGACTTGTTCACAATGAGAACCATGCCAAAATGCCTGTCAGCAAGCAACACTGTGTCAATTAGGAAACAATTTTATATTAACACTGTGCAGGATGTACAGGTTTAATATTGGGGAATGTACCACGCTAAAACAAACTCCAACAAACTGTTTGGTGTGTAAACATTTCAAGCATCTTAGTATATACTTCCCCTCTTTTCATGGTACAAACATAAAACGTAAAAAAAAAATAAAAAATTTTTATTGGTCAGGGAAATTGTGAATAGAAGTAAGGAGTCAACTTTTACATATACATGTTTCTGCCCATTTTTGACAGTGGTAAAGGTACTTTTTTCTAAATTGTAAAACAACTGCAAATTCCTTCAGTTCTTGAGTAGTTACAGACAGGATTGTAGTATCGTCAAAAAATGTACGAAATAATTCCAGCAGGACAACTGAAACATCTCAGAATTCTTAATATTATGTTTACTTATCCCTTTTTTAAATTAAATATCTATTTGTGGGGTATAGAACAATATAGAAACCCACTCTATTCCTTCAACTGGGTGGCTCCATCTTGGATCTGTGTCAATCAATGTCACAGCCTCTATACTTTGCACCTGGCAGTCAGCATACAGAAATCATAGCGGCGAGAAGAAATTAAACAATGTTTCTATTTCTCTCCTCATTCGCATCATGTGCCCCGATTGTGCCTTGAGAAAAAGGATTATGATGTAATTTGCTAAATGGTCAATAAAATGTTAAAATATTATGGAGTATCACGTGTAAACAAACAGGTTAACTCAAAGTTTAGGCCATTTTCACTATTTTATTCTGTGCTGTAAATTCCAGAAACACGAGTTCCCTTTTAAAAACAAACAAACAATGAAATGGATTATGTATTTATTGTGTCCATTCCTGTTCTGTGCAGGTTACAAAGAAAGTGCCCAGAACTGTAGAAAAGGGAACAGCTTTTAAATTTAGCATCATTGCATTAAAGATCCTGCATTATTAAGTGGGCTCAGTGAGCTGTATCACCCTCCCTCTCCTTATCTTCGCATTACACATGTTGGAACATTAAAACAAATAATTTATATGCTGAAAACTCAGACTCCCAGATAAGAGGAATTTCTACAGACCTTATGTCACTCAGTATGCCATGGGCCATTTAAAGGGACACTGCCACTATCACACTGCCGTTATCATCCTAATTAACTTAAGGGGTTAGTAATGTCCGAAATTTTTTCTTACACAGTGAGATACATTCTCGTAAGTATGTAAAATCTTAGGGATTTATCTGTCTTTTAGATTTCCGTATATGAAGCACCGCATTTTAGTGAATGGCTGCTCAAAAACAAGAAAATAAAACCCACTTGAAATCAAGGCTGTATTCTGATTGGTTGTTTCAGACATGTTTTTCAGCGTCAACCGGGCAATAAAAAAAAAAAAAAGAGCTGAATTCATATTATGGATGCCGTAATGAGAGAGATTGTAGAGTGAAAGATCTAAAATCTCAGAGCTGGAAAAAAACACAATTCAAGCAAAATAATATCAGGAAGTATTACTTTACTGAGAGGGTAGTGGATGCATGGAATAGACTTCTAGCGGAGGGGGTAGAGGTTAACACAGTGAAGGAGTTTAAGCCAGGGACTAAGGAGAGTATTTAGAAAATTGGGCAGACTAGATGGGCCACTACAAAGTGAATTTCAATTCTTTTGAGCAAAATAGCTGAACTGGAAGAATTATTCAGTGACGTTTTCAGTTTCCAATTTTGGTTTACATTTAAAATTAATTTTGTATCTACTTTAAACACCTAACAATTCAGATCCCTGAAAAAGTTGCAATCTTAACTTGGCATAAATAGTATCTCTTTATAAACAATGAACTCAAAACTGAACTGCAACATTTAGGTTAAAATGGGTGAATTTAACTTGAGTCTCAGCTTGGCTCTTTTTTCCCCGTGGGGCAATCTCTATGGTTTGGTATTAAGTTTGCAATAAATGAAATGGCTCTGCCTCTTGTACTGGTCTGTTCTTTTTGTATTGTCTTTTTCCCAATTGTACGGAATATGTTGGCGCTTTATTAATGTCGGTAATAAATAAATATGAGTTCACAAGAATTTTGTTTGTTTCTTCTAAAACCGTTAAGTTTATGAAATCTAATCACGAGGTTGAGAGGCTTCACTGACTGGGGGGCTATACTATAGCCCCGCAGCATCAAGATCAAACTGCCATGCCCTGCCCTGTAGATTTGGCATGTTTGGCACAAAGATGGGGGAGGTGAGGGGGCAGGCGCTAGTCATGCTGTAGCTTACGTATTCATAGTGTCTACATATCGCTCATCTGCACGCTTCTCATGGCTGTGTGGGCTGGTGATGTTAAAGATATGTAAATTCGCAAAGATTAATGTACTTTGGAAGAATGAGTCTGTAACGCTTGGTATCAGAAAGTTAATCGATATGCAGCCGGGGGGGAGAGGGATGGTTGGCTTGCAGAACAGCACAGCACAAATTCTTCAAAAGCTCCTAGTTTTATTCCTGGCCTTCAATAGTAGCCTCATTAAGGCCTCTGAGATTAATTACACTAATTTAACTCGAGTTCTAAGCCCGCTTGAAAGGAACAGGTTTCCAAAAGATGACCATGGCCCCAGCTCCCATAATCCTTTGCGGCTTATCGTGCAGCACCCACACTCTCTCTCAGTTCCGCATGGCGTTGTTTCCTCTGAAGAATAATATGTACTAACCATTTGTCAATGGCACCAGTGTGCTCTGTGTGTGTGTGTAGGCCAGAAGTCCTAGCAAGCTGCCATTCTTAATGATAGTAAATTGGGCAGATGACTACTTTTTAACTCCCAAAACACGTCCAAGCTTTATAGGGAAAAATAAAACCAATACCCACAAAACTAAAATTTTTCTTCCTTAATTCTGCTATCACTAATAGAATTTAATATGAATGCTGGATGGTATTAACTCCTTAAGGGCCAGTGCTATTTTGTGATATCTCCACACTCATGTCATGGTGTTTATTCAATGTTTGCATGTTTGCATCAGCCTTGCAACTCTTAAAGGAACACTCAAAGCATATAACCACTGCAGCATGCAAGGAACGTCCTCTCTACGGCAATAGGTGGGGAGTAACGTCCGACTGGACCTCGGGCAAGATGTCAGTCACACTATTCAAACAGTTTCACTTATTAAAATGGGCAGGGCACTATGTTATTGCAGGCACCATAACCACTAGAGATTGCTGTAGTGATTATGGTGTTTGGAGTGTTCCTTTAAATGAGTGGCCATTCCATTTTGATATTGGACCATTAAAAAACGTTTTCTTATGAAGGAATCATTTCCCATTTATTCTTACATGGTTAAAGCATGTTCGAAAGTTACTTGCGCAAGTATGAAAACTACTTATGTTGCACTCCTGCTATTGACTACTAAGTTACAGTGTTTTCAGCTGATTGCTAACTTTGTGTTTGCGACTTTTTAATCTTTGTGACCTCGGAACCGGTGCAGGAATCAAGAAACACAAGGTTTCAAATGCTCAACCTTATCATTGATTGTAAGAGAGATGGGACAAATAGTTCCTATCTGTCGTCACATGCTATGTTTCTATGTTTCGAAGAGAGGTTGGTTAAAATATGCCTTCTAAATGGCTGAATCGTGTTTTAAAAAAAAAAAAAGTTAACACAGCAGAGCTACATGGCTGGCGTACTTTAATATTAATTTTAAGCTTTTGGATTCATGATAAGAATTGTCCCTTCACTTTGCTAAATGAGCTGACTCCTTTCCTTTTAACGTGCAACCCCCGATCAGTGATAGCCCCCCAAAAACCCCACTGCAGCGCACAGTCTCTCGTGCTGCGGAAGCAGGATTGAGTTTGGCTTAATGGAGCTGTAACATGCATTTTGCTGACTCTGAACATCTCCTAATTCCCCTTTAATGCTAATTTCAATGAGTCTGTGAAGTGCTTTTTTGGATGGCCGGTCCCTCTGTGAGATCAATGTGTTTGTGTCTGTTCTTTTAGCTCAAAGTGTAGTTTCCCTGTGCGGAATTGCGACTGATGATTCCAAGGTTTATTGACTAAACTCGGAACTGTAAGGAATTAAATTCTTAAGGACAAAATTCAAGCTAAAATAGCCATGCTGTGTGACTATAGCTGAGGTTAAACATTATTCCAGATCCACAAATTTTTCATGTAAATTTGGCATTTTGGATTTTTGCAAGCTATGATCCCGCGTTTAGTGAATATCCCTGTTTGTGAACAAGGTCTCTATTAAGATGTGGACTGAAAGCTGGTTTGAGGAGGCTCCTTTGTTTTCTCATTTTCTAGAGCTGTTCTGTCACTTTCTGGAATTTTCTGTTTCATTAAAAGAACACTCCAAGCGCCATAATCATTACATGTGTTACGGTGGTTATGGTTGCAGGAATGCCCGCCCCCTACCCTTATAAGTGGTTAAACTGTCCTCCAGGTGCTGCTCCCTGAGTCTACTACAGCTTAGGAAGAGCAGGAAACTCCAGCTCAGGAGATTCCATTAGTTCTCCTGAGATAAGCATTGTAGTGGCTGAGAGTATCAGTTGATTGTTCTCGACCAACCAGCTAAGCTCTACACCACTGGGATTAGCTCCGTAAAGAGAGCTTCTGGCTCTCACTGAGTTATAGTGGAGGCGGGCAGGGGCGCCCAGTGAACCCCAAATAAGAAGTCAAATCATTTTAAATGGTTTTACTACTTACAACGGGGGGACGCCAGAGCACTTCTGGCACCATAACCACTACAGCACCCCGTAGTAGTTATGGTGATTGGAGTGTACCATTAAAAGGGCCTCTTCAGACCCCTAATGCACTTTAGCTTGCTCAAATGCCCTATGTGTGAAGAGTGTGTTCCTTCCACGGGAAAGGAAACATTAGCAAAGGGAGCATACTGTGCCATAGGGAGAATTCATGCTTTTTCACATGGTATATAGAGACTACGACATCAGACTGTGGAGGTGTGCGCACAGTGTAAAGTTGGAACACGAAGCCTTTATAATACGTGTCTCTGGCGCTCGCTGCTGCCGGATCAGACCCTTTGTGTTTTGGTCTTATAATGTAAGCTGTGCTTATCTGACTTATCCCCTGCACACATAGAAAATTCCTCTCTTCGCTCATTTGTCCCAGTCAGCATTTCAACAGCGGGCCTCCTTTTTTTTTTTTTTTTTCATTGTAGAGGTATTTAAATATATTGCCATTTCAGTTTATTAGTGGGTGAGGGCATTCTGAGAAGTATGCTGGTTGGGTAGTCTATTTTTTTAAAATTTATGTGAATTACCCCACACCGAAATGTGTTGGTGTCTGATTTAAGTCCAAGTTCTCCCTGCAGTCCGATCCTCATTAGCTGTCATCACTACTCTCTCTGGAGGATGGACTGAGGGTGGGACTAGGGCAGCATGGAGGGAGGAGTCAGTGTCACCATTGGCTATCAGCATGCTCTGCGTGCTGGCGTCAGATGCCCTATTTTTCAAATAATAGACATTTACCCGCCGGGAACATTGTGGTGAAGTGACACCTCCAGCAGCTAATGTGTTAATCTCTGTATGTGCAGCATTTTAATGTGAAACGTACATACTCCAGGCACCATCACCACTATGAATCAATGATGTGGTCATGGTGCTTGGAGTAACCCTTTGAAATTCAAAACATGATTTGGGTCCAAATATTTATTCCAAATTCCTGCTCCCTCTTGACTCAAACATGGTACAACATTTTCCTCATTTGGTTAGAACACGTCAGGTAAAATTTATTTTTCCCGTTAAGTGTTGTAGCGATATGAGTGTGTTTTTACGGTGCCTTCTAACACAGAATACTCACGTTCAGAATCCTCATTCTTGAAAAATCCAATAAGTTTGGGCTCATCGTCTAGATTCTCAAAGGCAGCAAGTTCGTGACTTCCATCGATGAACTCTATGGGATCCTCGAGCACCTTAAATATGAAAACACGAAGATCGCATTAATGCATTATATATTCAAAGGCATAATATAAATAAACTACCGATAATTTATGTGTTATGGCTTTTCATTTGGACCCGAGACACTGCTAAGTTCAGAGGATCCTTTATTAAAACATGAAAACATCTCCTCAGGATCAGATCCACAGGCTCAATGTAGACATTTCGGCAACCTGGAGGTATAGTGGATGGGTTTAGAATCAGCCCTTACCCAAAATAGTACCGACATGCCTTATTAGACAAGTTAAACTGCTGTGGCCAGTTTTAGAAGCCATTTCTATGCAGAGAACAAGCAGCAAATGAGAAACGAGATCAGGTAAACATGTTTGTGTTTTGGAGATAGGTTCTAGGTTCTAAAAGGAGTTAGAAGATGGCTGAGGGGTTAAAGGTCAGGGATGGGAAAGAGGGCTAGTAAATAGGTGAGTTGTTTATGTTAGTTTACCTGCATATGACCCCAGTATGTCACATGTGGCCCCCAGAAGTAATACAGAGATTTATTTGTTATGCAATTTATATCCATCTTTACTGTCATTAGTCATTGTACATTAATGTCTTTTCATCTACCATCACTACTGAGAGACTGTGTCATGAACCAACTACACGTAACTGTTAGGAAGAGGACAGCTTTCTATGTGCATTTTCTTTATTATGCTTGTGATAGTACACGGATGTATTCTGGGCACACAGTGTAGGCATCGGAGTGAATGGGGTAATTCTTGCTTTTCTACCACATGCACTTTCCAAAATTTACAGTTTTATGAAAAAAAAAAAAAAACTTTTTTGGGGCAGGTGCCAATTTATTTGGCCCAGATATAAATCTACATAGAAAAATATAAAAATTTGTAAAATATTTGAGTTCAAATTTAGAAACCTTTATACAACGTTAATACTTCCTATCAGTCCGTATTCAAACTATACCATCTACGCTATCATTCTATATTCAAACAGTTTGACCCATGCTATCAATTTATATTTAAGTTAATAATAATAATAATATTATTGCCATTTATATAGCGCCAACAGATTTCGTAGCGCTTTACAATATTATGAGAGGGGGGATGTTACTATAAATAGGACAATTACAAGAAAACTTATAGGAACAATATGTTGAAGAGGACCCTGCTCAATCGAGCTTACATTTTATAGGAGGTGGGATGTTAAACACATTAGGACAGGAATTTGCAGTAAAATAAGGTGGGAGTGAGGCAGAGCTGGAGGACAGAGTAGTGTGCTGCCCTTTAGGAGAGAGCAAGAGACAGGTATGTGAGGTAGACGTTACTCTGGGAGGCAATAAGCTTTCCTAAAGAGATGGGTTTTAAGGCACTTCTTAAAAGATGCAAGACTAGGGGAGAGTTGGATGGCGGTAGGCAGGCTATTAAATAGGAAGAGATCCGTCCGCGAGAAGTCCTGCAAGCGTCAGTTGGCCATACAGGTGCGGACAATGGACAGGAGGTGGTCACGTGCAGAGCGGAGAGACCGAGAAGGGACATACCTATGGATCTGTGAGGAGATATAAGAGGGGCTAGAATCAAGTATGACGCCAAGACAGTGCGCTTGCAAGGATGGACTGATGTGGGTACCACAAACTTGAAGGGAGAGCGAAAGAGGAGGATCAGTATTAGGAGGAGGAAAGACAAGGAGCTCAGTTTTAGGGAGATTGAGTTTCAGAAAGCGGGAGGATATCCAGTCAGAGAAGAAAGGCAAGCAGTGACACGTTGCAGGAAGGCAGGGGAGAGGACCGGGGAGGAGAGATATAACTCGGTGTCATCAGCGTACAGATGGTAGTGGAATCCAAAATAGGCAATAAGTTTGCCAAGAGAGGCAGTATAAAGAGAAAATAGAAGGGGACCAAGGACAGAGCCTTGGGGGACTCCAACCGAGACAGGACGAGGGGAGGAGGTATCATTAGAAAAGGAGACACTGAATGAGCATTGGGAGAGATAAGAGGAAAACCAAGAGAGGACAGAGTCACAGAGACCAAGTGATTGAAGAGTTTGAAGAAGGGGAGCATGATCAATGGTGTCAAGTGCCGCAGAGAGGTCAAGAAGAATTAGTATGGAGTAATGGCCTTTGGATTTAGGTTGTTAGTAACTTTGATAAGCGCAGTCTCAGTAGAGTGGAAAGCCAGATGGAATAGGGTCAAGGAGAGAGTTGGAAATGAGGAAATGAGACACATGGGTAAAGATAAGTCTTTCCAGAAGCTTAGAGGAAAAAGGGAGCAGGGATATGGGACGATAGTTAGATGGGGTGGATGGGTCCAGGGATGGTTTTTTTAGCATAGGTACTACAGTGGCATGTTTAAGGTCAGCAGGGACAATGCCAGAAGAGAGAGCAGTTGAAGATGTGCATTAAGGAAGGCACGAGACAGGTGGAGAGAGATCTAACAAGGTGAGATGGGACAGGATCGAGTGGGCAAGTGGTGGGGCGAGAGGAAAAGAGAAGAGCAGTTACCTCTTGGTCAGTAGCCGGGGAGAATGTCTGAAGGGTAGGAAAGGCATGATCTATGTGTGGTTGAGAAACAGAATGGCAAGGAGGGAAGAATTCTTTCCTTAGCAGTTCAATCTTGTCCTCCCATATATGTTACAAGTCCATATTCCAACTGTCCCCATGTTATCAGTCCATATTCAAGCTGCCCCCAATGTTATCAGTCTATATTACAACTGCCCCTCATGTTATCAGTCCATATTCAAGCTGCCCCATGTTATCAGTCCATATTACAACTGCCCCTTATGCTCAGTCCATATTACAACAGCTCCCATGTTATCAGTCCATATTCCAACTGCCCCCATGTTATCAGTCCAATATCCAACTGCCTCCCATGTTATCAGTCCATATTCCAACTGCAACCGTTTTATCAGTCCATATTCCAACTGCTCCCATGTTATCAGTCCATATTACAACTGCCTCCATGTTATCAGTCCATATTACAACTGCCTCCATGTTATCAGTCCATACTCCAACTGCCCCATGTTATCAGTCCATAATACATCTGCCCCCATGTAATCAGTCCATATTCAAGCTGCCCTCCCCCATATAATTAGTCCATAATACATCTGCCCCCATGTAATCAGTCTATATTCAAGCTGCCCTCCCCCATATAATTAGTCCATATTCAAGCTGCCCCCATATAATTAGTCCATATTCAAGCTGCCCCCATGTAATTAGTCCATATTCAAGCTGCCCCCCCATATTATCAGTCCATATTCAAGCTGTCCCACCACAATCTAGATTCTGCATGTATTTTTCCCTGACAAAGTGAATCCATTTATCTGTGTGTCTGCCCCAGAATAATATTCCTACACAATAAATGTAGTTTCTATCTCTAACAGCTCCTATAACATGACACATTTCTCCTGCCTCTGTATATCACTGTATAAACGCTAAGCCAAAGAAGATACCCAGCCGGAACATTGTTTACAGACTTAAATCCCGGCTGACCCCAATTAAACCTTCAGAGAGCCGCCATAGTTGAATGATTGCCTCCAGCTATCTTTAAAGCAATCCCTATTCATTTTGAACGAAAGACGTATGTTCTTCCCCTGTTTCAGAAGTTAAATTATTAAAGAAATTTAATTAGAAGAGGTTTAGGTTGAGCTAATGTCACTCATTTCCACTGCCCGCACACAGATGGTCAGTTCACCTGAATATACACTTAAATGAAGTATAGAACCTGCAATAATTTCTTATTAAAGTGACACCATCTTTGAAATATTAAAGTGGCAGCCTAAGCACCATAACCACAACGCACCATAGTATTAGTCATGGTGCTATGAGTCTGTGGGCGCCATTTCTCAGTTATCTGTTTTGGAGTGGTTTCACAAAAAAATAAATGGCTCTTTGCAAAACCTTTAGTATAGCTAGCTCCATCAATCAGGTTTAATCACTAAAATGAGTATTCCAAGTAAATTTAAAGTAACCCTATGGAACAAGCGCAGCTTAGTGGAGTAGGGGCTTGACAGAGCTAAGAGGGGGGCATAGGGGGAAGGCCCCATGTGGGAGTGGAGTTAGAGTGTAAAGGGGGTTGGCCCAGTTTAAATAGGCAGCCATTTTAATAGCAAGCCCATTTAATCTGCTTACCTGGCCTAAATTGTCCCTCCCATTTGTAAAGGTGTTAGCTCCCGTTTGTTCACAGCGGTGGGGCTAGAGAGAGAAAGGTTAGGGGACAAACAGGCTCTGGGGTAGTGTAAATAGAATAGGGCAGTTAGGCTGCTGGTGAAGAGTTTGGTTAAACGGTTCCTTATGAACTTTGGTGGGTTTCGAGCTCGGTGGGTGGTAGGGGTATCCGGGTATGCCCCTACCGTGGTTATTTAACAAAGTTTGGTACTTATATTATGTTGATGATTTTTGTTATTGTGGTTGCTGATGTTATTTATATTTACAGAAATAATGCCAGTGACATATGATGTTATATAGCAGGATGGGGGCTGGGCAATGACTTTAATTTATTGTTATCATATTAATAAAGCTGTGGACATATTGACCCATACATCAGTGCCAGTGTGTTTTGAGGGTAAGTTTTGGGGGGAATTCCACCTGCCCATATGGCGACTATGCGCCTGTCAAGTGAACGTCACATTCAAGATGAAAATAGACAAACTGCAAAAAGTATTTGTCAACTATGCTTCCAGCGCGGCTAGTTTGGACTTCAGTGTGAAATTCACTTTGAATTCTCCCTTTAGTGCATAAGACTGTATATGTTTACTGATAATACAGAAATTATCACCTTGGATGCCAGTGAGAGTGCAGGGATTACTTAGCTATTCGCCATCAGCCTACCAATTCTGTCCAGGTTGAATGGACTCTCCCTTGATAATGTGGAATTCTAATTTCTCATAGCACCATAACCAACAAGCTGCAGTGGTTATGGTACTTATAGTGAACCTTTAAGCTACTTTTCTAACGCTAGTTCCACATAGACCAAAAAGGGAAGTAGATCTCCCATTTTAACATTTTTCTTTCACAGTTTTAACACATTTCGGATTCGATGACATGTCAAAACTGTCACAATACAGGATTTAGCTGAAGAGGTTAAAGACAAAATAAATTTATATTTTTACAACGTTTCTCCACAGACAAAGCCTTTCAGCTCATAAGTGATCTATAATTGTGTCACATGACCAGTAGCTTGAATTAACAAGACCCGAATAAAATATGAATGAGGAAAAATCTGATGGTTTCTGGACAATGTATTTGCAAAAACAATAGGGACAGAATTCCAAGTTCTGTCTTTCTTTACAAAAAAGAGACATTTTATCAGTGTAGACGGAACAATCGTTTTATAGACGTTTTAATTGAGTGGATAAACTGGGGACTTACATCCAGTAGAAATTCAACCAATGTGTCAGCAGAGAACTCTCCGTCATACTCGATGACTTCGTCATCCTTGAACACATAGATACTGTCTTCTTCGTGCAGACCTATGAAAGACGAGAAGGTGGTTAAGAGCTGTATAAGGGATTTCAGGGGTTAATAACATTGAAATACTAAAATGAAGATGGATGTCCATCAAGTGTTGTAAATGCAAATATTGTTTTTCAACTGTTTGTAATTCTAAGAATACACGTTCGGTTTTATTCACTAAAGAGAGAATAAATTAACATAAAAACCAAACTGCAAAATATATAATAAAATACTCAATATGGCTATTTTAGCCTAAGAATCATAATTTGTTTTTCCTGTCACTTCTTCCTCCGCATAGTGAATAAACCGCCGGTAAAGCATCTTGTTCACCTTTTACAGAACGACCTTCTAGGGAAAATATGTATTTGGGGCATACGTCGCATCACTGGGGACTAACTTTATTTAATCATTCTCATTACAGATAGTCAAACACAACAATCCTATACATCACACAGCTCTAAGCACACCAAATCATTCATACCATAGAGCGCTAAACATTCTAATTCCTTCTTATCAGAGAGCTAAAAATTCTAATTCATTCATATCATAGAGCGCTAAGCATTCTAATTCCTTCTTATCAGAGAGCTAAAAATTCTAATTCATTCATATCATAGAGCGCTAAGCATTCTAATTCCTTCTTATCAGAGAGCTAAAAATTCTAATTCATTCATATCATAGAGCGCTAAGCATTCTAATTCCTTCTTATCAGAGAGCTAAACATTTTAATTCATTCACATCATAGAGCGCTAGACATTCTAATTTCTTCTTATCAGAGAGCTAAACATTCTAATTCATTCATATCATAGAGCGCTAAGCATTCTAATTCCTTCTTATCAGAGAGCTAAAAATTCTAATTCATTCATATCATAGAGCGCTAAGCATTCTAATTCCTTCTTATCAGAGAGCTAAAAATTCTAATTCATTCATATCATAGAGCGCTAAGCATTCTAATTCCTTCTTATCAGAGAGCTAAACATTTTAATTCATTCATATCATAGAGCGCTAAACATTCTAATTCCTTCTTATCATATTGCAGAGATATAAATCCACAAAATCTTCCATAGGACAGGGAACTAAATGTATAGCAATTGTTGCAGCGTTTTTGTGTATAAAAATCTGTATCATCATGTAATGTTAAAGGGATACTCTTAGCACCACAACCACTACAATCTTTGTGGCGATCCACCTGGTTTGTGTTAAACTCTTTTACTGTAGTTTGAGAAAAATGGTGTTCTCCCGGTGCCTACAGCTCTTTGTTTTGAATTAGCCAACACAGAAGTGAAACTCTACCTTAACCAGTACAACTTTGGACAGCAGTCATGAGTGCTGGTGGCAGGTTAGTCTATCGTTGTCTTCAAAAATGTAGCCAAGCCACAACAGATAGGCCTGGCTATAGGCTCTACACAAACATAGTTTGACACAAACATGACTGACACATGCCTTCCGACTATCCCGATTTCGGCTTTGTTCCAAGGTGTGCAGCTTTTGGGTATACCAGGGAACTGTCTCCAAAAGGATAGCTTGAGTGCATCATTAGACACATTCTGTAGAGATTTATGTCAGGACTTTCTGGGCTGGTCCGGGACGCCAATGTTGGGGGGGGGGAGGTATGCTGACAGCACCTGCAGCAGGCCTGTCCAACCTGCGGTCCCCCAGATGTTGCCAAACTACAACTCCCATGATTCTTTCAATGAAACAGATAGCCATGGAATCATGGGAGTTGTAGTTCAGCAACATCTGGGGGGCCGCAGGTTGGACAGCCCTGACCTACAGAATCTTTACACCATAACCAGTAAACTGAACTGTCGTTTTTATGCTGTTTAGAGTGTCCGCTGTATTGGCAGTGCCAGCACATACCCCGTGGAAGTATTTGCAAGCTCTTGGGGTAGAGGCCCATTAACATTTATAAAGCAGCATTCAAAACACGAAGTGTAAATCTGGTGGCGTATTACTGCCAGCTGGTCGGAATCCCCCTTTAGGACATCTGCCGCTAAGCTCTACAGGGATCTAACACGGAGTGGAATATTTGATCAGATGGATAGTTACTATTTGGGATAAATAAAAAGCTCTGCACAAGCTGTCATCAGGATTTTACAAATCAATACAGGAGCCGAGCCAAGCTAAGGTGTTTACTAGTGATTAGACGTGATATCTTTATAACTGGTTGGTAGACTTAGGCTGAGACCTTTATCAGTAGTCAAAGCTTGGAGCATGCACAATATATATTTTTTTCTTTTCAGAAATCGCAGTTGATACATAGAACATTATAAAAGTTAAGTTGATGTGCAATCTGTGCATAGATTTTCCCATGAATTTTGAGTTGGCCCCAAAAAAATTATGTCTACTATGGATACGTAGACATGTAGGCCAAATTTTCACCTATCAGCCACAACATTAAAACCACTGACAGGTGAAGTGAGTAACATTGAATAAATTGTTACAATGACACCTGTCAAGGGGTGGAATATATTGGGCAGCAATTGAACAGTCAGCTCTTGAATTTCATGTGTTAAAAGCAGGAAAAATAGGCAAGTGAAAAGATCTGAGTGACTCTAGTGATGGCTAGACATTGGGTCAGAGCGTCTCCAGAATGGCAAGGTTTGTGTGGTGTTCCCAGTATGCAGTGGTTAGTACCTACCAAAAGTGATGTAAGAAAGGATAACCAATGAACCAGTGACAGGATCATGGGCACACAAAGCTTATTGATGCAAGTGAGAATCGAAGGCTAGCCCCCCTGGTTCGATCACAAAGAAGAGCTACTGTAGCTCAAACTGCTGAAAACCATACAGTGCTTAGCATTTTGCTGTGTATGGGGCTGTGTAGCCGCAGACCGGTCAGAGTGCTCAAGATGACCCCCTGAACACCTTTAATGGAGACGTGAGCATCAGAACTGGACTATGGCGCAATGAAAGTAGCTTGCCTGGTCTAATGAAACATGTTTGCTTTTAGATCAGGGCGATGGGCAGGTGCATGTGCGTTGTTTACCTCCGGAAGAGATGGCAACAGGAGGCACTATGGGAAGAAGCAAGGCAAGCAGAGACTGTATTATTATCTGGGCAATGTTCCACTTGGGTCCTGGCACTCATTGGATGTTACCTAGAGATTGCTGCAGACTAGATACACCCATTCATTGCAATGGTGTTTCCTTATGGCAGTAACCTCTTTCAGCAGGATAATGCACCCTGCCACACTGCACAAATTGTTCAGGAATGGTTTGAGGAACATGACAAAGAGTTCAAGGTGTTACCTTGGCCTCCAAATTCCCCTGATCTCAATTCGATAATGCATAATCTGTGGGATGTGTTGGAAAAACAGATCCGATCCATGGAAGCTCTCCTCACAACTTGCAGGACTTAAAGCAGTGGTCCCCAAACCAGTCCTCATGGACCACCAACAGTCCAGGTTTTGTCAGCATCTCCATTGGAATGAAAAAGGGAAATACACAAATCCTGGACTGTTGGTGGTCCATGAGGACTTGGTTTGGTGACCACTAACTTAAAGGACCTGCTGCTAATGTCTTGTTGCCAGATTACACAGGACACGTTAAGAGGTCTTGCTGGAGTCCATGCCTTGATGCATCAGAGCTGTTTTGGCAACACAAGGGGGACCTACACGATATTCGGCAGGTGGGTTTTAATGTTGTGGCTGATCAGTATAAACATGGCTGTGTAATGCTTTTGCAGCAATGTTGTGGCTGGAGAATTGTTAGTGTAGGACTCTTCTAACAGGATTGCCTTGACATGGCAGGTCCATCTAATGGTCGTTGGAGTGATACTATAAGCCTCCTGTTATTTCAATGTGCATGGGTATTTAGCATAGTGCAACTATTTTGTTAAATTTTTTTGTTCTATATCGATCATATATTTTTACATAGGTTCATTTTTCACAGTAGTTCTCCTTTTATCTTTAATGGTCGTGAATACCAGTCTTCTTCCCATTGGTCTTAGCCCCAAATTCTTTCTGACCATATATTCATTATACTTGCTCATGATGGACATATCTCGTGTAACAAGTTTGGGTTAAGCATCCTATCTGTCCACACGAATAGAGCTTATCATGATGTAAAACATATAGTTGGAGTCCCAGTATATATTTAAGGCATGCGGACTAAGTGTGACTAATATAATTTTTTTTTTTTTTTTTTATTCTTTATTTTGGTCGTGCATTAGATAACAGACAGAATTCGCACAGCCACAACAGCTAGTGCTAGCAGAACAACAAACAATCAATAACAATGGTGTGGCCTCTCATACATTGCACATTTTATGGATTTTTACGATTAATACAAGATTGAATCTATAGCTGGAAGTATGTTAGAGCTAATTGGGCTTAATAACATAAGGTAGTATTGCAGGGTACCCCAACAGTAAAATAACATGGTGGGTAATATGACAAGAATGGTACCAATGCATCAGGGGGCAACGGTTTAGATTGGATGTGCATGAGTAGTCATCAGATGAATAACGTGATACAGCGTACAGAGATGCATTATAGAGTTTAAACACGGCAGACCAATTAAGCACAGGCAAAGAGAAGTACACATTTTAAACATTCTGTGGCATGCGGTATCAGCACATTTTTTGTTTTTAAGACTCGAGTATTTACTGTCAATACGTTAGCTTGCTAGTTGGCTACTAGTTATGGCATTTAAGAGATAGGTAGCATAGGTGGCAACAAGCCTAAAATAAAATAAAACAAAATAAAATAAAACATATACGCTTTTATACGCTTTGATACCGCTGGGTCAGCAGTCTTGAGTCAGAGTCCCTGTCTGGGAGCTGATCTTGGCCTGCAGCCATCTCTCAGAGTCATGAAGTTAGCCGATTCCCTGGTTGGGCATCTGCTTTACATACGTGCAATGTCCCCTGCAGCAAGCCACGCTGTTGGTCGAGAGCGAAGTACTCCCCAGGCCCCGGGCCTGTTCCAGAGCCTGCACCTTGTTGCCACGAACTTGGGTCTTCTTTGAGTCCAAGTTTTTCCCAGCCGGGAAGTTACCGGGAGCTGTACCACGTTGGCTTCGGCTCGTTGTTCCCTCCTGCATGCGTGGTCTGTGCTTTGGGGGTATTCCCCAGGTGACTCTAGGCCCAGGAAGGCGTAATGTAGCGAGGTGTGTGTTTAGTGCGGTCGGTATGCCTTTGGGGGGTCTCACTTGTCTCTTCTCATTTAGTGTCTGCTGTCTCACCCGTGGCAGCGCCGCAGGAGGCACTCGGTTCATCAGCTCAATTAGGTTGGCCCAGAGTTTTCCGAAGGCCGCATCTAGTCGTGCTTTTGGTGCTTCAGTGAGGTCGGCTGGATCCCACGTCTAGTCATCCGTCTGCACAGTATTTTGTTTGTCGCGTGGGCAGCCCATAATGACCCGGGAGGACTTTAGCATGTGGCCCAGCGGGGACCGGGATGACCCCCACCGGCCCAGAGGGGGGGAAAGCGAGACCCAAGCTGCCCGTGTGTCGAGTAGTGGACAGGAGACCGGCCGCGTCTCCCGCCCGGTGTCTATTAGTAGGCCACAAGGCGCCCTCTTCACCGCGGGCGTGTTTTGCCATCGGGTTTTCACACCAATGCTGTCTGGTTGCTTCTGTATCAAGGTATATCCTTGTTGGGTGAGATTGTGGGGCAGATTGTCGTGTTTTTAGCATAAATATGCTTTAGGGTTGAGGAGCTCCCTGTGACTAATATAATTTAACTGCTAAATCTCCTTGGATAATGATTAGGACTGGCCAATCTAACGAAGGTATTCTGAAAGTTACATGATGCACCGTAGCATGGGACTAAATCCCTATTCTGTCAAACAATATGTAACTGAGAGATCTATAGCTGTTTTTATTTGGATTGTGCTGATCAGAAAATGTGATATAGAGGCAAAAAAACATATATATATATATATATATATATATACATATATATATATATATATATATATAATACAAAGTTCCTTGCACTCACGCTTGCAGTTCCTTCTGCTTTGCCAATAGGCATGCCGGGTGCCAGTCCTTTTAGGGATGTTACTGTAGATAAATGGAAAATGCAGGCTGCACTCACGGACTTTTGAATTCAATAGTATTTATTTCATCAAACAAGTAGAAAAAAACGACGTTTCGGTCCGCACAGGGACCTTCCTCAGGATCAAGTGATATATACATATATATATATATATATATATATATATATATATTAATGGTGCTAGGTGACACATCTTCGCAAGAATTACATTTTAATTTTGACCCCCATCAATTAAATTTTTGAAGTCAATATACCTCTGACTATTAAAGGAATAAACTCCAAAATTATTATTCCCATTGACATTTTTATAAAAATTAATTGGAGGAACATAAGCCACGCTCCTCCAATCAGCAGCATTTAAATCCCAGATCGAGTTCTACTTGGTCTGGAGGCAAAAGCGCCTCTAGTGGCTGTAAGCAAGATGACCACTGGAGGTGGATGTAAAGAAAACTGCACGGTTAAAATGACAGGATCGCTGCACCCAGACCACTCTATTGAGATAAAATGGTCTGGGTGGCTTTAGTAGTCCTTTAAGTGTATGCATCAGAAAGAATTAAAAAGCAATGAAAATTATTTTCTAAATGATCCTGAAATCATATGGGAATGTTTTGCTGCTTAAAGGGTCCCTAGGTGCTGGATCAGGCTCCGCCCACACTCCTTTCCCACCGACAGCCGGCGGGGGAGACCTAATGCGCATGAGCGGCAATGGCCATGATCGCATTAGGATTCCCCATTGGAAAGCATTAATCAATGCTTTCTTATGGGGATTCCGGTGATGCTGGAAGTCCTCATGCAGAGCGTGAGGACATCCAGCGTCATTTAGGCAACCAAAATTCGCCTAAACACCCGGAAGTCCCTCTAGTGGCTGTCTGGTATAGTTAACCCTTCTTTGAAACTGAAATAATTACCACAGGTTTTACTGCAGGTTTAAGAACAATAGGGACACAGCACCCAGATTACTTCAATGAGCTGTACTGGTCTGGGTGCCTACAGTGTCCCTTTAATTAAGCAATTGATCTCCTAAAATATTTTCCCTAAAAATGTATTGATATATTTTTTTCTTCAGGTGTCCCTGGTGCAATTGACTGCTTTCCCTCAGCACGTATCACATGTATTGAGCCACGCTGCCGTACAAATAACAAATTTCGACACCTGACTAACTAGGCTTCAGCTGAAAGACGCGCTACGTTCCCACACATTGTTTACCACAATGCCACTCACCTTCCGTGTCTAATTACAATCCACCTCTGGAAATAATTATTTTAGCTGTCAAACAGGTGTGCATGTAAAATGAAGGCGCTCTTTGAGAGCAATGATTTTTTCTTTCTTTCTTTGTTAAAATCATCCATATGGGCGTACAAGTGATCTGGGAATGAATGATGATACTTATCCAAGCGTTATTGTTTGTTAATGGAAGCTAGTCGATAGGATAGAATTCTGCACATCACAGAGAAGGAGTGGAAACATCGTACAGCCTTTCAGCAGATGTGGAAATGGCAAATTAAGCACTCAAACTCAGGGGCCCGCAGAAACTGTTCACTGAGCTCTAGGCATGATAATAAGCGGCTCTTTCGCACTAATCACAGTGCCTCAAAGTAACGTTTTTTTCTTCTCATTTTTAAAAAAAGTTTATTACATCTAATAAAACGTAATGATATTTTAAAAATAATGTATATTGATATTTTGAGAAAAAATTAAGGGACCCTATAGTCACCAGCACCACTACTGATTAATGTAGTTGTTCTAATGTCTATAGCATGTGTCTCCAGGCATTTCAATGTAAACACTGCCTTTTCAGAGAAAGTACTGCCTAGTAACGCCTCTAGATGCAGTCACACAGTGCTGGGTCAGTGCTGTAGATGCTGATTGGCACAGAGCATTCTGCCTTCTAATGCTTTCCTACGGGAAAGCATTGGATTGGCTGAGATCATCAAGACTGATCATCTCAGCTATGGAGGCGGGGCCAGAAGTGGCGATTCTGGCACAGTGAGGGACGAATGTTGAGTATCATCACCTTTTCACTTCACTCTGAGCACTCTGACTATAGTGTTTGGAATACATGCTTGTATTCCTAAAACGATGGTGCTCTCTTAACTTTTTTTTTTTTTTAAATCTGGCTGAGCGGCCATGTTGTGTCAGACTCAACTGATCAACTGCCGCTCGACCTAACTTGCTGCTGCTGCAGGTTCACACAGAGCAATCACAGCAACAGCAAGTTAGGTCGAGCGGCAGTTGGTCACATAACAGTCCAACATGGCCGCTCAGCCAAATAAGAAAGGGAAATTGTATCGACTTAATATTAAATTATATTACAAATATATAATTAAGTTTAATTAAAAGTAATGTACTTCTAAAAAACAAGAAGTGAAAAGTTGATGATAGCTTTCCTTTATGGTCTGCTGTTTATTAAAGGGTTGCTCCAACCACCATAACCACTACAAGCTACTGTTTCTTGGTAATGGGGCAAACTATTTTACAACAGTTTTCCTTTTACGTGGGCCTGCCTGGTTCTATTTCCCAGCTGTAGGCAGGTTTATGACATTGTAGAGCTGTTGCTCATTGATTGAGAGTGTCACCTTACCGCTCAGCCAATCACTGAGTGTCTTTGCATCGGAATTTGCACAGAACTGATATTGGTTCTGGGCTGGTCATGACACCACATGACGCTGTCAGAAATGGGATTACATCGCCTGCACGAAAGAGATTAAACTCAGTATTACAGCATTTCACAGAGAAATACAGACACCAGACACTACGTCCACTTCGAATCACTGAATGCTTGGAGTAAGCCTTTAAAAAATACATGTATCAAAACTATAGGCACCCACACCACTTCATCTCATTAAAGTGATATGTGTGCAGTGTCCCTGTTCCCTTAACCAGAAACTGCAATGTTTACCTTGCAGGGTCCAACCTGCTCTAATGGATGTCGTCCTGCTGTTTTACAGAGTTTGACTCCATGAAACGATGCTGGACATCCTCACACTTTGAATGAGGACGTCCAGCGTCTTGCAAAACCCCATAGGAAAGCAGTGATTTAGCGGTTTCCTATTGGGAAGGTAAACACGACAAAGGAGGCAGAGACAGAGCCAGTGCCGAGGGACCTCGCTAGTCACTGAAATAAAATGGGTGAATTCAGGGCTATTTAACCCTTTGAGTGCCACAGGGAGAGACGGGTGAAATGAGGGGGGCAGTGGAATACTTTAGTGTTAGGGATAAAGTTTTGTAATTCTAACACTAACTTCATTTAAAGGAGTCCTGTTCTTGGAATCTCCTGCTTCCCCAGCCTTCCTCCGCTCTCTGTCTGTCCCTCTTTGAAACCAGTAGAGTTAAACAGATCTGAGCACGGGAGAATTCATCAGACGAGGGCCTGTTTTAAGGGTTACTGAAAATCTGCTTCCACCAAGTTGTATCGTCACCAAAATGACTCTTACATTAAAACTGGGCTCTGAGATGAAACACCTGCAAACAGTTCATCATGGTCTGTGCAGTTGTACAGCTCTGCAGACTATGTTGGTAATTTAAATTAATAATAAAACAGGCCGCCTTTGGCTAAAGTCTGCTAGTTCTCATTTACCACGATGTGCCAAGAAAATTAATGCAATGTGTCTTGGACAACTGAGAAAAGGATATCCAAGAGTTATGAAATAAAGGGAGAAAGAGGGAGGGATACTGGGCATGAGAGTCAGACAGTGGAAAGGATATACAGTGTAAGAGAGAGGCAGGGGGTAAGAGACAAGCATTGAGGTGTTATTTTAAAGTAGTGTTGGTTAACCTCAGCACGCCTGGTTCCTCTCAACCACATTTCCCATGGTGCTCAGCAAGAATTAAGGCTGGTTGTGCATCATGGGAATTGTAGTTTAGAAACATCTCAGGTTAGAGATCTCCATTCCAAAGCGTCTGTTAGTCCTATTTGAAGTTCTATGAAAAAGATTCTGAAACTTTCATTGAATAGTGATCTCCACAATTTTCCATCTGTTAGTACAGGGGGTGTCCAGGTACGGCCTTCCAGGTGTGGTTGGGGGGAAATTTAAGAAATATAATCTAAAACAGACTAAGGGAGATGCTGAGCCATGCCATCCTTAGTGTTTCCCTTCCGCAGAAAGATGGGAGAATAACAGAAAGGTATAGCAAACAGATGATACAAGGGACTACGAACTAAACAGAGATGGTCAGCGAGTTTTAAAATAACCATTGTTGAGTAACGTGTCAAGCCCCTTATTGCTAACAAGACATTTCTACCTGCGCCAGTGACAGGCAGGCCGGTGTACCTGACACATCAATTCACGGCGGAAAATGAAGTACTCGCTGCTTGGATGTTAATGCAGTTTTAATATTAGTGGCTCTTAATTATCCTAATAAGATGCTGCAATTCAGGCTGAGCTGATTGAGCTCTAACTGGCAGAAATAATGGCTGGCTGAGCACAGCGTGTCTGAAAACGACACACGTGGGACTACCCACTGCCACCTCGCTACGATATTTATGTCTCGGGACGACTATAATCCATCATAAACATCCAACAGAGAGCTTTTCTTTCTTATTTAATTAATCAATTTCTACGACACAGCCTGTGATTAATTTGTCCTTACCATTACACAGACTAAAGGCATGAGATAAAAATGTACTCTTGTCTGAGAAGCTTACATTCTAAAACAGGGATACCCCTCATTTTTCTGTTTGGTGTTTGACATTATAAACTGTGGGTGTACATCACGCCTGTATACCGATGTGTAATCTGCACTTGGAGCTAGCCACCGAGCTGTCAAATATTTTTAAATAGTGTTCATTATAGTTGTATTTTGCGTTTCCTTCATTCTTTGGTAAAATGTTTTTGTTTTTTCTCAAATCGGCTCTTTTACCACCTTTATTCACTTCTTATGGTCAGGGGGTTTTGGTTCTTCGCAAGAAGAGGGCATAGACTCAATGTAACGACCCTTAGTCTTATAACAGCTCAGGTGGCTTTTTCTACTACAAGGCAGGGCCATCTTTAATACTGATTGGACCCTGGGCAGGTATATGATTGGGGCCCCTTGACCTAGCCCTTCCCCTTCCTAGCATGCAATCACGCCATAAACGCCCACACAAAATCTTTTAAAAAAGCACACACTTAGCCCTCTCATTTCTTGCTTAAACAAAATACACACACTAACACACATACAGATGCAAACACTGACATACATAGAGATGCACACATACACAGGTACAGGCATACATAGAGAGATACACAGACACACATAGACACACATGCAGATACACACTGACACACCTACATACACCGATGCACAGATACACTCACTGACAAACATGCAGATAAACAGAAACACTAACACACAAACAAACACACTGACATACATACAGATACACACAATAACATACAGATACATACATGTACCCATAAGCAGATACACAGATACACACAGATACAGACACTGACACATATACAGATACGCAGACACACATGCAGCTACACATACACACAGAATCATACACATTCAAATACATAGAATGACACTCACACAGATACAAACACAGACACACATGCAGATACACAGACACACATACACACTTACACGCATGCAGATACAAAAAACATGCAGACACACATACAAACATACACACAGATACACATACAAACATATAGACATATAGACATACACATATACAAACAGACACAGAGACACACAGATACACAAATATACAAAGACACACATACGGACACACAGAAACACATACTGATACACAGGGTCACATAGAGACACATGCAGATACAGAAACACACATACAAACAGATACAGATACAAACAGACACACACATACATACAAACAGATACACACATACATACAAACAGATACACACATGCATGCATACAGATACACACATGCATACATACAGACACAGACATACAAACAGACACTTACATACAAATAGATACATACATACAAACAGATACACACATACATACATACATACAACAAACAGACACATACATACATGCACATTTTTTATGTGTTTCCAACCTTTGGAGTGCAGAAGGCTGGCTCAGGCTGATGGGAGTCAGAGCTCCCACTCTGACTCCCTCCTTTTCTTCTCTTCCTCCTGCTCGGCGCTCGGTGAATGCTGGGAGGAAGTGCTGTCACTTCCTCCCAGCATCCTGACATCATTACAGGGGGCCCGGTCGCGAAGTGACCGGCTGTCACTTCCTCCCAGCATCCATGACATCATTACAGGGGGCCCGGTCGCGCTCTCAAAGTGGCCTGGGCCCCTGAAAATTCATCGCCATCTGGTGGCCCTTAGAGCATTGGTCACCCGATGACCTTCACATTGCGCAGCCCGTGGTGGTAGTTCCACGTGGGCCGCATGCACCACGGCGGCCGGAGGGCTAAAGGGGCAACTGCTTTGGGCCCCCAAAGACTGACTGGGCCCAGTGCAGCTGCCCTTTTTGCCCCGTGTTAAAGACGGCCCTGCTACAAGGTGACAACCCATCAGGAAGTCCAAGAAGAACCAAGGGACACACTCTAACCTTGTTCCCTTGTTATTCACTGCTGAAGTAGGGATCGCATGTCTTGCAGAGTGTAAGCTCTTATGGTAACGGCCCTCCTTCTCTTTTGTTCCTGGGTTCACTAACTAACTGTACAATATTACCAAGGTCCTATTTATATTCAAAGTAGGCATGGTTGTCTAATGGGTTAAAAAAAAAAAGGATTTTTTTTGCTATTCTGTACCAAGAGAACTCTGGAATGTGGTAATTGGGGGTCTTGTCCTTCTATGGCTAGGGTTATATTGTGACGTTGTTATGGTCATATCTATATAGAATAGTGCACAAAGGACCACAAGGTCTTGCTATTGCTTGCTGCTTGCTGCACGGGGTTCTTGTCCGGCTGTTCTCTAACTATGTAGACTAACTCTCCTTCAGGAGTCCAGCAATTACCATCTGCTGTTGTACATTCATTATCCCGTAATATCCTTTGTTGTTTTATTATGTATCCGTAACTCTAAGAAGAAACCTGAAGAAACCGTAAGTCAGATTGCGTTTTGGTATTTTTGGTTAATATAGACGTTTAGCAACCTGGTGAGCCTTTTACCCAAGAAAAAATATACATAAATGACTTATTTCAATCAACTTAAAGACACAGAAGAAGCGATTTTATTACAGTAACCTCACTAATTACTTGATAGTTGTGGAGGGGCTTGGGTTGATAAGCAGTGATGCCTTTAATGGGATTTATTCACTAAAGCAGCAATTGTTGAAATTGCAAATTTCAGGAAACAATAGCTGATCTGATTTGGAAAATGTTTCCAAATCTGCTAGCATGGCCTAAAATGTCCAATTCGGTGTTAAATTCTCAGTTTATTGTGTAAACCTTTCTGTGTGTATATTTATGTAAAAAAAGGAGAATATAAAACAGGATGGAAGATACATGTTTGGCATTGAAGTGTCAGATTTGGTAAAATTGGGCTTTGCAAATACAGAGATTCAAAAACCGAATTGGAAAATTGAGACCAAAATAGCAGATTTGGAAAAATTCTCTGAGTTGGATAGTTCTTAGGTATAGTTTGTATCATTTTGCCAGCCAAATCTCCATTCAGTTTACTGTTTAGTAAATAAACCCCACATGTTACTGCGCCATGCAAACTGTGTTGTTATTGCGAGGTCTACTTTTGCCTTGTTATGATAAGATGTGTATGTGTAATGTGTTTTTAGAATACGGTTCCATGAGATTATAGAAATTGTTTCCATGACGATTTTCAATGTCTCAGAGAACCCCCTCCCCCTATCAGACTATTCCTTAACAGTGACGGAGACGGCCGGTTGAATAGAGACAATATATAGATAAACATAGGTATAACATGAATATCGTATGTATTGTGTGTATACCTTTAAATAGATGGTGTGCATATACATAACAGTAAACCGTGTATTATGGAAAAATAATAACTCAGTCTCCACAACTAAGAGATCACATTATCGTCCTCTAATTCATGTTTCAATATTATGTATTCTCAGTACCTTCTCCCAGAGCGGATGTCAGTCTGGCTTTCTGTCACACCATTTTGGGCTTCACTAGTGAGCTGACGCTCTAAGCCAATAAGAATTCCCCCCCACCCCATTTATAAAAACGGTTTGAAAAAATATGCAAATGTTTAAGCTGTTTCGAGAATAAGAAGCTACTGATTGGCTTAAAACATCAGTGGATGCTGTCAGTTAATCGGCTGTGCCCCGTCCGATGCTTGCTGTTTAAAGGATCCCAGCGAAGCGCAAGGGACAGAGCTAAACAGTGTAGAAGAGAAGACTTTGGGTTTAAAGTAAGTGGATTAACCCTTAAAGGTAAGCTGGCGCCAGGAAACACCTACCACCATAGCAACAAGATTCCAATGAAGTTGTTATGGTGCCTGGAGGATCCCTTTACGTTGCATTTAGAGCTTTATTTGCACACAAATTACTAATTTTTGTAGCAAATTATGCAAAATATTAATGTTTCTTACTGGGAGGCTACCTTATTTGCAGAATCCTTCACTATCATACCATTGATAAAATTCTCATACTTTACCCTTTATCTTAATACTGTCTTGAACTGATGCTCTCAGCCAATGAGGTGGCCTTCACTGCAGGAGGCTGTGAGCAGCGCCCAATGGACACAATGGTAGGTTATCAAACAGTTTTCAAATGGTGCTTACCCTGGGAGGAACATCAGTATCAGAGCACTCCTGGCACCATAATCACTACAGTGCGCTCTCTATCTTTCAGTTAGTCTGTCTGTAAGTCTATGTGTCTATCTCACCTAAACTTTATTTCTCTAAATAAAGCTTTGTCTTTCCTTTATTTAATATTTACTTGGAGGCTTAAGCAAGACTTGACCCCAATTGAACGTCAGTAAGTAGGTGCCTAACTAAGTATCTGTACCTGAGTAGATACTGGTAATTGGACGCAGGGACTCACCGTACAGACCCGGTAAGCACACACGGATTATTTAGTAGTACTGATATAGTATTTCGTGCCTAGTTGCGTTTGCAAAGAATTAGGGTAATATACCAGCTAATAAAGATACGGTTTGGTCAGGGAGGTCACCGCCGCCCCTATCTGTTTTCTCCTCTCTCTATTAAGCAAAACATTGTGTTCTTCTTCAAAGCTATCTGCCCCCCCACCTTGGTGTTAGCAGAATAGATGTATCTATGGAAACCAGTTGCCTCTCTTTTAACTTTAATTGGTCTTAGTCTTTAATGTCATTCACCTGTTCCGTCTGCAGGGCTGTTTATGAAAAGAGAGAAAAATAATCTTGCAACAGTATTCTCATTACATTACAGAGAGAGATTTTTGGCCAAAAATTCTTATGAAGGTTTTTACTTTTACCGAGGAGGAGGAGAGGGGGCTGGGGGTAAGAAGGCTCGGATGGCTGCGGTCCTTAGGGGAGGTGAATGAAATCTGTGCATTGGGGTGCACAGATCTCTCACCTCCTATCTGATCCAACTTGCTCCTCATTTATGGACAGGTGTCTCACACAGATGACATCATAGCCAAGCTTCTACTTTCTCCTACCCTGGGAGCATTGAATGGGAGTACAAAATAGGTCAAATATGTGCGGAGAACCTAAATCAGCCCTCTTTTCTCCCTTGTAGACAGTGTTAAATATGCTAAGGGCATAGGAATGACACCCCATTATTCTTCTTTACCCCCATCACCCCTGCAGAGGCTTGTGCAAAGTTATTGTAGGTCACGTTTATGCCCATAAGTCAGAATTTCTGTATTTCAGTGCAACCCCGCCCAATAAAAAAAAACAAAACTTTTTTTTTGCAGAATAATCGTTAATCTCGCTGTTTTCACGTTTTGTCTGTTTCATTATTGTTGTTTTCTGTTTTAGGAATTTAATGGTTGAATTACGTGAAGGTTTTTTGTTTTTAATTGTAAAAGACCCCTGCGGCTGCATATTTTTCGCATAACGTGTTTTAGACGCAAACTTCTGTTACCCTTGCACTACCTTAGGTGTTCATTAAGACCGCACTGCCCCCTAGTGGTGGAATAATGGTAGTGAATTTTATCATGAAATAGCATTTGCAAATCTATGGCTTTGAAAATACTTTTAGATAAGCTATTAAATCATTTAATATTTTTGTGATCAACTTTTCAAAAAAAAATTCTCAAAATATACTAATGTCAGAAGATAGCATAAATTTTTTTAAAAAGTATATCAAAATAGCATCCCCAAAAAAGAAAAATGTTTTTCTAAATAGTAAATGTTAAACCACTCCAAATGTAAAATTTGAAAAGCATATCCAAAAATATTAAACCGAGGCCTATGTTACAGCGGACACCGGTTTACAATTTCACAACAGCTGAGTGATCATGAAATGTAGGCACACGATCTGCGGACTTTCACAGCAATATTCACAAAAAGGTAAACCTTTATAACACTCACCTAACTTCTTGGCTACAGCTGAATCTTTCTCAGAGTCGACCAAACCAAATCCTACGCCTTTATCTTCCAGGACTTGGGCAGCTAACTAGGAAAAAAGAGAAGAAAGGGGAGAGGGTGGAAGGAGAGAGAAGGAGAAAGGAGAATGTTTCAGGGCTGATAACAAACATGAGACTCAAACATGATGCTACCCACACCTTTAGCTTTTTTTTGTTGCAATTTAATCTAAAATATACAGACTGACTGGGTTAATTACTAAAGTATGTATTTGGGGAACTGAAATTGAATTCCAAATATTAGGCAAGAGTAGCCAAACTGAAAATATTCCACTTGGGACACTTTCTGGTCCTGCCATTTTGCTCTACAATCTGAAATTCACTTTGAATTATTGACAAACCACATGTTAATATATAACCACGTCAAGGCGGAATTAATATTTTTCACTAAACTCCGATTTATAGCAAATTGTAATTTGAATTGCAAAATTTAGACACGCCAAGGCTATTCGGGGGGATTTTAAAATGTGAAATTCAGGTTGATTTCACTTTGAATTCACAATATTTCAATAATTTTGTTTGCCTGACGGTGTAGACCTGCTTTAAATTTAGCAGGTTTGCATCATATCTTGCAGTATATATGTTTGCTTGTATATGGAAACACTAGGGACTGACTTTGTAAATCCAGGACCATTTGTTGGTGTGTGTAAAAATATAGATTTTTTTTTAACTTGCGCACAGACGTTTTTCTAAAATCAGTTCACATCCTGGGGATGTCAGCAAATTTGCAAGTTTGCTAAGATTAATTAAGCCCACATTAAAGTATCATGTGATTTGATCCACACCTTTAGCTTTTTTTTGTTGCAATTTAATCTAAAATATACAGACTGACTGGGTTAATTACTAAAGTATGTATTTGGGGAACTGAAATTGAATTCCAAATATTAGGCAAGAGTAGCCAAACTGAAAATATTCCACTTGGGACACTTTCTGGTCCTGCCATTTTGCTCTACAATCTGAAATTCACTTTGAATTATTGACAAACCACATGTTAATATATAACCACGTCAATGTAGAATTAAGATTTTTCACTAAACTCCGATTTATAGCAAATTGTAATTTGAATTGCAAAATTTAGACACGCCAAGGCGATTCGGGGGGATTTTAAAATGTGAAATTCAGGTTGATTTCACTTTGAATTCACAATATTTCAATAATTTTTTTGCCTGACGGTGTAGACCTGCTTTAAATTTAGCAGGTTTGCATCATATCTTGCAGTATATATGTTTGCTTGTATATGGAAACACTAGGGACCGACTTTGTAAATCCAGGACCATTTGTTGGTGTGTGTAAAAATATAGATTTTTTTTTAACTTGCGCACAGACGTTTTTCTAAAATCAGTTCACATCCTGGGGCTGTCAGCAAATTTGCAAGTTTGCCAAGATTAATTAAGCCCACATTAAAGTATCCTGTGATTTGATCTTGGGTTTGTGACTGTGAATTCCTTGGGGAATTAAGCGTTTAAATGCAGAATTTGGCTATGTGGCTTTGTCAGTGAGTAATTATTGCAGTCCCAATGGGTGCTCAAATTAGGCAAACTCACTATTATGATCAAGTCATTGTATGTTGAACAATATCACTGGAAGAAAACAATGATTGGAACAGTAGACAAATTTGCATGAAATGCCCTAACTGTGCCTTTTCAGAAGGAAATTTGAGATTTCAGTTTGACATATCATTAATAGAAATATATAATAAAATGTATAAAAGATGGTGAAAAGGAGTATTAGTTACTTTCATATGCTGGATTTAAAAAATATTATTTCATCTGTAACAAATAATTTTAACCACCTCAATTTTGTTTTAATGATCTTTATATTTTTAATTTCATATATGTAAACATACTATTAACTTAGGCACTGTGCACTCAGCAGATCATTTAGTTTATGTTATTTTGTTACATGAAGCGCACAGATTTCCGTGATTTTTTACCATTTCAAGATTAAAACATGCACAGAGAAAAGAAGACTTATCTCTGAATCTGTTATTCAAAATATTAAGCCCCATTATTTTCGGCACGAGGTCCCAATTACGCCAGGAAAAAAAAAATGAACATTTGGTTGATTTGCATAAATAAAGACATAAACTTGTTTGTAACAAAACTGGGATTTTGATCTGAGATTCCCTTCTGCCTCTCGTTACACCATCTCTTGCCCAAACCTGCCAGCGCCCACAATGCTTGGATGGGTTTATATGGAGAGAACAGCAGCTGCCTATGGCATAGTATAAAGGGAAAGGCTTGTTCTGCAACAATCTAACTACAAGCAGTATTCCGCATGGTGGGGTGATGAGAGCCTCATGGCTACCATAAACCGGCACTTAGAAGTAGATGTTTAATGCATTCATTTATATAGAACCACCACTGTCTTCTCAAAAGGCACAGGCAGGGCATTCAATGCAAATTAATCTTTACCCTGATCGTTTGGTGGAAGGAAGTTATCTTAATGTTCAGGTTCACTTGCCAAATTTAGTTCCCACATCTCTGAAAATTTCCAGGAGAGGGGCTAGCGTCTATGTTACAGTAATCATGATTGGCAGAGTCGCAGATAATGCAAAAAATCCACTTTCAGCTGTTTGTGAAACAGTAAATAGCTAATTCTTAGGGTTAGGACATGTTGATGAAACTCTCGAGCAAGAGACTGATTATTTCGTCATATCAAACAGTAACATCTGATTCTTTTTCCTACAGAGTTTCATTTTCCAAAACACACTCTTTTTAACTGTGTAACTATGTTATCTATTCCACCCATGCTGGCAGGCTGTCCCCTGAATCTACTACCATTCTGCACGCTTGGTCTTTGTGCGTTAGAGTGGGAAAGATGTGTTGATGGTTTAACCTTAAGAATGAGCCATTAAAAATCTACAGCGTATCCCTTTTGCTAACTGGCGTTTTGCTTTTGTCAGGAATAAAAATTAGGAAAATTAATTGATTTGTAAAATACAACATACAGACTGCTTATTTATTAGCTGAAATTCCATTAAAAAAAACAAAACAAATTTTTTTTTTCTATTGGATACAGAAAAATATCACATTTACTTAAAAGGTTGGTCCCCGACTCACATCAACCTCAGCCAGGCTAAGTTCAACTAGAGAAAACTTAATTAAAATGAATCGCTATCTAAAAAGCTTACAATCAAATGCAATGGAAGGACATTAGCTGCTAATATTAAATAAATCTAATATATTTTACAAATACACAAACAGGTTTTATTTTTAAAGCGCTAACATATTCCGCAGCGCTGTACAGTATGGGAGCCTTTCAAGGCTGTAGGTTAAATATAGGGAATTATACCTTCTGGGGTATAAACTGAGGCCAGTCTGAAATGCAGTAACCTGTCTAAATGTGTAGTGTCGGGCTCCCAGAAACCTTATAAAGGCTCTATTTTTGATTCTTGGATGGGTACAGTAAGTTCAATATAAGGAGAGATGGGTCTCATCCTAAGCCCCTGGCTCCTTTTTCTAGATCACAAACCATCTACAGCAGGAGTTTGCAAGGCTCCATTTCCCCTGAATGTGCACTTCAGGCTGTAACTTAAGGAGTAGAAGGGGAGGGATATACCAGCCAGCTCCACTAAACACATCTCCCATTCCAGCCGGGTACATCTGCCACAGCCCTTCTTGGCTACAAGGGCACACGTCACCGTTGGCTGGGCTCCATAACGGGAGGGAGGGGGGATTCTTTTTCTGGATTCATCGCCGCACAACACCTTATAAAGGTACAGTGTCCCAATCCTTAAAGACCCTCCCACAGACTTTATTTAAGGACACCAATGCTTTATCTCAGGTGAATCTAAATCACACCGCCTTTGGCTCCCAAAGATTTACATCACACCCGTAATTTTATATGTGACTTCTGCCAAAACAGATGTGGTGTTGAAATGATTAAAAACAAACAGATAAAATGAAAAAAAAAACTGTTTGCAAACTTGCACAGATGAAAGAACCATGTCTGTTAGCATAAATGTATCACAAAGGATTATGGGGCAGTAAATTAATTAGCATGGAATGCCGCGACTGTGCCTTTTCAAAAGACTTTTGCAATGTTAGATAATAGTTTTAATAATTAAAATACACAGGAGACATATATTTAAAAAATGATTATATTTCCTGTTTATAGTACATGGCAAAGATTCACATATATATAAAGAACCCGCATTATTTAAAATGTGGTGTTTGAAATGTCAATAATGCAGACAATTCTGTAATGACAACCCAATATCAACACTGTATCAACACATAATAGTGTTACTTAGAGTCATGGTTTAGTCACTAGGTTTGGGTTAATGGGTAATTCATGGCAGAGAGTGATGGGAGTTGCATTCTGCAGCATCCACTGGGGTTTTGTGGTACACCTATATACTCATACCCTCTACATTATTGGGGTTGCTGGGAACACCACTTGTGATATTTTTAATTAGCGTGTGTTTAAATTATTTGGCTCAATATTTGCTCGTGCCTTATTACCAGAGAGCAGCAATGCGTTTATCTGTTGATTCATCTATGTTTGTATTTGTGTCTGTCTTTCACAGGGTGGGTGGAACCCTAAGGAGTAAAGCGTTCAGATCTGTTAATTTTAGAAAACACAGACAAGATACAAGAATTAAGGAGAAAAGAATTCTGTGCACCTGTGCTCAGCACTCATACAGACTGACTGTAGGTAACTGAGCTATGTACTAATCTGGATAGTATATCTACCTGCACACAGTCACAGCTGAACATAGGAGGGTACATTGAATTATTTCGCAAATCATCTGTCTGTTGGATAAATAGATTTAGAGTTTGTAGCAAAATAGCTAGACTGGAAGTTTGCATTCAGTCTTTTTTAATTCACTGATAATTCTCACTTGTATGAATAACCTTGTATGCATACAGTTTGACATTACACAGTTATAAAGCCCAAGGTTGCCAACGCTATTTGCTGACGGCAATTTAACCCTTGGCAGTGCGATTTGACCCTCCTACTAACATTCCGCAATCTATGCTCAAACATGGATATTCTCTGTTTTGCCCAAAGAAGGCATTTTTAAATTCCGTCAGGAGTGGCCAACAGGTATTGCCCTAGGTTCAACAGCAAAGTAGTGGGACAGCGCTAAAAAGTCAGTAGAAGCTAAAGGACAAATGAGGAAGCAGCAACCTATAAAAATGAGGTTCCCTCTCTATTCCTCAAATGAAAGGACAAACAAAAGAAAATATATAGGTTGCGCTATATGGTAGTGAATATAAAAGTAAATATAAAATGGGATAAGACAAATGTATAAATAAACAGGAAAAATGATCCCAATGCTAAAAAGTCTTTAATAAAACCTGTGATAATACTGGAGTCTAGAAAGAGTCCAAAAAGTAGCTGGATCTTCTTATGTTGGAGGTGTCTCAGTTCGGTGGTAGATATATATTGCCCTAGGTTCGCTGAGCTTTCTATATGGTGTTGGACTCATCCACCATATAGACTATCTACCCTGGACTTTTCAGTTTCTATTCATATATTCTCTGTTTATTTTGCCTGTTGTATGCTTTTTATTTATCTTATTTGGTTTTTAGTGGCGGCGGCGCTACCCGTTTCCCTATTTGTTTGTATCATCGCTGAGCTTTCATGCTCGTTGGGATGATGGGAATTGTAGCAGACCTGTATTATTGAGGCGGAAATCGGTTTTGCAAACTTACTCATAGCGTTAATCAATAAACTCCTTATTGTAGCAATAAACATCCAAATGTCAACATTTAGACAAACGTAGATGATCTGGAAACATTCTCCAATTATAAAGTGGCAGCTTTTTTTAGATCTAAATCCTCAAATATCAGTGACTTATAATTATCTGGTGGTTCAAGAACCTATATCAAAATAGAATGTCCCACTCTTATGGGCATGTATATGCTGCAAGGCCTCAGAGATCAGATTGTGAACACTGCTAAGTTATCGGTCCTAAAATTAAGTTCCTCTCAAGTCAAGCAAAGATTTAAATTATTCCGTAATAAGCACACAGCTTGGGCGCCTTGCCACAGTCCTTTGTTAATATGTGCTGTCATCAAATGTTATGATGTACTGATAAAACCAGGTGTTATAGAGCAGCCACCTTGTTTTATTAGCAGACATTTTTTATCAAAAAGTTTTTTGTTTTTTTTTTTATAAATTTCCCTTTAAAGTCACTTATGAATTCTTGATTTCTGTTTATGGAAAGTGTAGGTCTTTCATTTATGTGATTCTAGAAGCCATTTTCTCTCAGCTGCAGTCAACTAAAAAATCAAAATGCCAAGCTCACTTATAGTGCCATCTATACGTGTTTAGACCAGGGTATGTATCTAAATGTACGTATAAAAAGGATGGTGATTGTAAAAACTACAGATTATAATCTAGAAATTCACAAATATAATTTACCCTTGAAGTCCAGCCTTTTAGGGAAGGCTAACAAATATATTGTATACATGCCAATTGACCTATTGTGATGAGACAGTCCTGATTTTGTGCCCCTGTCTGGGGATACTAGAGAATAGTCAAAGCCCCTATAAAGCACAGAACAATAGCATTATTAAACTCATTTGCACTGTACAGTGCAGCATCACGGTATAACCGTATCACGGTGCACATGGTAGGTCTTCACTAGCTGCCCTACCAAACTGACCATCACCCAAACTGACCATCAAACCGCTTCTTTTACACCCACAACGGCCACTAGCAACACAAACAGAATCACTAGCACCCCTATGATGTCCCTGCCCCCTCTCCTCCCAGCTGTATATTTGACAATGAATTGGCAAGTAATACATTTCGGACTCATTTTTATTTAACACCACACTTTGGTTTTGGAGGCAGTAGCCCCACACCCGTTTGTGCCATCTTCCCAGCATGCAGTGCGTCTGTTCCATTGCAGGATTGTGGGACATCCATCTTTAGGGGGTTGATGGATGCACTGCGCTAACATCCATTGCAGCCGCCATCTTGGAGGTCGCACAATCAATCTTTAGGCCAACGCATCCTTTAATCAATATATTTGATGATAATATTGTCAACACAATGTGTATATTTATAAATATTAATTTCTATATGTACACAAGGCTGAGTTTTTCATCAGTGTTTTCTACATTACGTGTTCACTTTAAACATTACTGCCTCTTTAATCATTACATTAATGCTAACGCAATAGTGGTGCCTGGTGCAGTGAATTGTACCTATATGTTGTACAAAACAGCTACCAGATAGTAAAGATAATGTATTTTAATTGTTGTTCTATACGTACACAAACATTACTAGGTTTGTCCAGGTCCTTTACTAGAGGCTACGGCAATGCGTTGTGAGATGGCCACTTTCATCAGTTTCTGGAGGCCATCTTGGAGGAGGCATACATGATCTTGTATCTGCTGGTGTTACTCTTGGAGTACAATGCCTATATTATTCATTGAACTACCCGGTGTGGACTGTAACTGCCACTGTGAATAAACCTTTTCCTGGCATGTACAAGCTGGTGAGTCTCACACCACCATGGTATTTCCATTATCTAGTGTCTGTGATACACCATAGACCTTTCTTGCTAAACTGTGAGTTGTGTGAAGAATTTAGGACAAAATAATCAATCTGAATAATACAAATGTGGTCATTTTCCATTTATGAATTTTTTTTTTATAAAATGGATATTGCAATTAAGTTGTCAATACAGCCAAACCCTCCGTTTAGTGAATAAACCCCCTTGTGTCAAAAAGAATGTCTGACTTTTTGGAAAACTGAGTTTCGAGGAGTATCGTAGCTAACGTTGCCGAGCCGGACTACACTTTATTTTTGGAGAAAAGAAAATGACAGGTGTACGTAGGGTTTGAGCCAAGCCCTGTGATCGATGGGCTAGTTATACTGCCCACCTGTCCAGTGAATGTAAAGCGACACCAGTCTTTAACCCTGCCTGGCCTTCTACAGGGCTTCACAAACAAAACCACTTTCAGGGTTATTCAATAAAGTGACTATATTCAGGAGTTAATTCAAAGTGAAGTTCAAATTTTAGTCAAAATAGCAGAATTGAATGCAAATCTGATTCGATAATTTGACTGAAATGTTGACGAATCACATTGGGGAATAACCCTGTTTATTTTTGTAAGGGCCCCTGTGCATGGACGGACTGAGGCACTGGGATTGATCTAAGGGGTTTATCAGCTAAACAGTGAGTTTTTACATCATTTACCATCTTGGCAATGTTTAGATTAAATTAGCAGATTTGGAAAATAAAAATACATTTCATCAACTTGACTACTTTACATGTCATCTCACGGCTAAATGAATAAAATACAATTATCACTGAGAAAATATTAGTTATTGACAATTGTGTCTGTGCAAATCAGTAAAATTGTGTTCTTACCCCCCAAAACATATATACAAACAAACAAACAAACATAAATGGCAAAAAAGCATGGTATTGGTCAAACTATAAATAGATAAGTTTTTTATTGTCTGATTGGAATGACACTTGACTGTTAAAGGGACAGTATTACTATTGTAAAGGCCATATTTGCTCTACTGGTGCAATTGCTGTATCCAATATCACTGCTGGGGGACGTCTAACGTAAAAATCATTCAAACTTGGAAACCTGCTTCGGAGAGATTCTGGGTGCAGTTTCCTGAAAGTCCTTTCCAGTTTATGGGGGCGCTATTTTGAGTTTGCAAAATCTATTATTCTTACTTTTCTTCAAAAACTGTACCCATTAATTTACAAGATTATGCTAATTAATCTTGTCTTTTATATGGAATTATTTTGACAAATACTGTGTATAAGATGACTTCATGCAATCATGAACCCTCTCAACATCTCAAATCCTCGTCTTGCTAATTTCTCATATTACCTCTTAATTCATGCCCCTCCCCATGTCGCTCCCATTTATGCAATCTCTACTGGTTTATTGTATCACAGCACTAAGGGGGCAGGGTTTTATAAATGTATACACTGATGGACAGACAGTCAAGACAAGTCATCTAAGCACTGTTGCATCTAACTCGATCATTACTGTTAGAACGGTAAAATCTTTTTGCAATAGATACAATGTGTTCCTATTTTGTATTCTCCTAGTTTCAATATACAATTCATCAACAGCGGGGAATGAATCTGCTTATTACGGCTAATTCTAGCTAAATGAAGAGTAATTATAACAGTTAGCCTTTTCAGACGTGCTTTGTTTTAAATCTATTTAAATGTATCTGTTAAATTTATTGTGTAAAGTCAATAGAGCAAAGAATAGAATTTCTTACATGTGTGTGCTCCATAATTCTTCCGTGTTACAGATAATTATAATATTAACGCACACTGACCTTTTTATCACGCAACATTAATCTTTCAAACTCACATAGAATTCTACATTTCCCAGAGGAAAGAGGAAGTAGGCACTTCTATATAAGTCGTGATACATTTTATGGGAAACTCTTAATTTAGTTCCTTTTTTTTTTAAAACACCTTGCCCACACAGTTACCAAACTGGGATCTGTAGACTAATTACCAGGCCCAAACAACCTACATGGAGAGATAGCTGATTTGAACTTTTCCGAATTGACTATTTTGGTTTTAAATTTGCAATTCTCTATAATTTTCAAGGGATCATTATTCTTATTGAAACCAAGCACCCAAAACTTTAAAACTATCTATAATACCATTATAATCAAAAATGCATCTCTAGTGTACTCCTCAAGCTCCTGGCCACCCACGTAATTTTACCCAACACAAGGTATGAAACCTTTTAGTTAACCAACGTAAGAAGGACATCTGAGACGTGGACATTAATGTTGGTCCACAAAAGGGCATCATCACCTGTTATATATCTACTCTGAAATTATGATGATCAGGGAGATAATCCACTTTGTGTTTGTGTTTCTGTATGTAGAAAGAGGATATGAGTCAAATAATTAGTATACATCCTTGTTGTACCTCCAAAATAAGCTCCTCCATTTCAAACTGCCTCTGGGAAGCCTTGTCATCCTCAATAGGGTCGTGGTACAGCAAGGCCAACACATCGTACTTCTTCAGCGCTGCCTTGTAGTTCTTCAAGTTGATGTTGATCACCCTGTCCTCTCCGTCATACTCTGGGAAATTGAGTCCTTCCTCTGCCCAGGCTCCCAGACTTGCCAGGGCGAGGCACAGAGCTGCCAGCACGAGCCACGGCCCCTTCATCCTCTCGCCCGTTCCAAGTCAACAGGTCACAGGTTCAGGTCCCCTACCAGGTCTAATTTAAAGTAAATTCAACAGGGGTGGGAGGATAAACCAAAATCCCCTTCTCCGCCCCTCAAGTGGTTGGATAAGGTCCCTTGCTTTCTTGGTGGTGGAGAAACTCCTCTGTTACTGTGGCTTGGGGGGGAGCTGCTCCCTGAACAGGTTGAAATGGTGGCGAGAGTCTGGGGTACAGTGGTGTTCACCTTCCCAATGTGCAGAGACTGAAAAGCAAAGAGAAAATCTGACACCAAGGCCATAAAAGAGGATGAGGGGGCAGGATAGGAGGAGGTCAACCAGGTGGGAGGGCTATCCTCTTCTGACGGGCTTGGCACTCTGGGCATTCGTCACTTGCACCCACCCCCCATTCCCTGTCTAAATATGTCTATATGAGATCGTTCTCCCAATATACATGGGAGTCCTCATTTATCCTATTAGCAGACACAGCAGAAGCAGTTTGCACACACAGACAGAGGAACCAGTACCATTAACTGATCCTGTACAGTCACCAAGCACAGCTAAACCCTATCTATCTGTCTATCTGTCTGTCTGTCTATTGCACATCTGTCTTTCTTTCTTTCTTTCTTTTTCTTTTTTTCTTTCTATCTATCAATCTGTCTCCTGCTTGTATTTCTGCTGTAATCTTATTTTTCTTTTTATGTATATGTATGTATAAATATATTTCTATTTCTCACTCTCTTGTCTTATCTCTTGCCTTTTTCACTCTCTCTCTCTCTCTCCCTGTCTTGCTGTCTTTGTGCCTGGCATGTCTCTCTGTTAACTTTCTGTAGTAAAACATTGGTCTGTACTTAAGCAATAAAATAAGTTATAAAATGTTTCATTTCAATCTCTACCTCCTGTTTTGGAAAGCTGTTCCCTGTATCCACTCCCCATTGCCAAAGCAAAATACACGACTGGATACAACCATACACACACGGTGAGCAGCTGCCTGTAGTCCCAATCTGAGGACCTTCCCAAGCATGACTCAGATTTTTCCCAATTTCATATCTCTGTAATGAATGCAGACGTATGCATTGTGTCTCTATATAAATCAATCACTTGGCTCCTTAAATCATTTTGCTTAGTGATGGCCTGGGAATAACATTCCCATATAAACCTAGAACTGAGACTTGTTCCAGGTAGTGGTGTGTCTGACGTGTTATACACAGTAATGATAAAATGCTTGTACCTAACACACAATGCATGTTACAGACTGTGCTAAATATGTTCTGCGCAAGGTATCATTGGGAAAGTAATTAGGTAATTTGTTGACTTGCAACCAGAGGTACAGATCCCCCTTCAGATGATGTTGAGGTTAAACCCTAAATTATTCTTAAGAGATTATTCATGAATGGCAGAAGAACAGTATCCATGGCAAACACAGAACCATCTAACTGCCCTAAACGTAAAGCAGAATAAAAACACCAAGCACCGCGTGTGCTCTAAAACAACGCAATAAGCTAATAAAATAAATTCTAAACCCACGCAATAATATAATGCATCTTGAGAGGTTAATGGAGTAACCTTCTATTTTTCAGAAGTTAAATACCCACAAATTGCACTCAAACACAAGAAATGAAATGGACTGATAATTATATTGGATTTTACTATATTTGAGCAATAAATTCTCAGTCTGTGTGCTTGTAAATTTTTATATTTATGCATTTAACCGTCTTTGCGTATAACGCCATCTGACCCACTATAAGCCTGACTAACTTTTCTGTAACTATAAACCTCTAAAAGCTATGTTTTAAACCCATTTCTCAACAGTGCAACAGTGCAGCTTTCTACAACATAGGCACAAAATTTGTGACAACGTATTTTCGGTTTTGTGGTTATTTTCTGCATCTCTGGAGAAATCTGATCGATGTAAAGATTTGAATCATGTGCCTTGACAACATATGCTTGAGGTCTAAATCGTAAAAGGGAGGATTACATTGTTTACAATTATAATTTAACCAGAAGTACAATTTAATGTTTGTTAAATGGCATTTAAATGACACACTTGTGGAGAAACACAATACTGTCAAAATGCCAGCAGTGTACTTTATTACTGATGGAGCTGACACTCATAAGTAGAGACCCAAAGACATAATCTGTAATCTCACGAACCATAGTATAAATTAGTTCTGTGGATCCTCAACTGCTGCTCTGATCTAAAGAAGCATAGTACATCTACCTTTAAACCCAGAGCCAGGTTTCAGGCTCTTATTAATGTGAGGAGCCATATATATACTGCACTTTTATTTCGCCTACCTGGACATATTACACTTGGCTGCTTCTATATCTTTTTCTCCCCTCTCTTATGAGTATACCTGAGTGAAGGATAAGAAGAGGGTCTGTGTCACCAGAGTACACACAAGCTGATGTGATATGAGCCTATCCTATATGGCTCTTTTCTGTGTGAGTGTGTCCAATATATATTTCACACTCTTTATTTACTGTATGACACTATATTTACTTCATGTGTTTTATTTTAGTATCCTACTGTTCCTTAAACCCCCAAGGGTTAATATTGTGTAAGTGCTCCACTATATAGACTAGTGGTGACCTGTGCCACGCAGTTTATGGGGCGTTTGTTTGTTTGTTTGTTTACAACCCCAAAGAATGTGCAGCATGTATACTAAAACTCCAGTGAATCTGCAACATATAAACACAACTCCAGTGAATCTGCAACATATAAACAACAACTCCAATGAATCTGCAACAAATAAACTACAACCCCAATGAATCTGCAACATATAAACACAACTCCAGTGAATCTGCAACAAATAAACTATAACTCCAGTGAATCTGCAACATATAAACTACAACTCCAATGAATCTGCAATTCATAAACTACAACTCCAATGAATCTGCAACATATAAACGACAACTCCAATGAATCTGCAACAAATAAACTACAACTACAATGAATCTGCAACATATAAATGACAACTCCAATGAATCTGCAACATATAAACATAACTCCAGTGAATCTGCTACAAATAAACTATAACTCCAATGAATCTGCAAGATATAAACTACAACTCCAATGAATCTGCAAGATATAAACTACAACTCCAGTGAATCTGCAACATATAGACTACAACTCCAATGAATCTGCAAGATATAAACAACAACTCTAATGAATCTGCAACATATAAACTACAACTCCAATGAATCTGCAACAAATAAACTACAACTCCAATGAATCTGCAATATATAAACTAAAACTCCAATGAATCTGCAACATATAAACTACAACTCCAGTGAATCTGCAACATATAAACGACAACTCCAATGAATCTGCAAGATATAAACTACAACTCCAGTGAATCTGCAAGATATAAACTAAAACTCCAATGAATCAGCAACATATAAACAATTCAAGTGAATCTGCAACATATAAACGACAACTCTAATGAATCTGCAACATATAAACACAACTCCAGTGAATCTGCAACAAATAAACTAAAAATCCAGTGAATCTACAACATATAGACTACAACTCCAATGAATCTGCAACATATAAATGACAACTCCAATTAATCTGCAAGATATAAACTACAACTCCAGTGAATCTGCAAGATATAAACTAAAACTGCAATGAATCTGCAACATATAAACGACATCTCTGATGAATCTGCAACATATAAACACAACTCCAGTGAATCTGCAACAAATAAACTATAACTCCAATGAATCTGCAAGATATAAACTACAACTCCAATGAATCTGCAACATATAAACCTCAATGATTCACATAATGTAAACTTCTATTAATGTTCCTACACGGCAGCTGCCTGGAGGTTGACCACCACCAGTTGAAACAATGTGAGGACCACCATTGTATTTTGATTTTTTGATGCAGGGGTCCCAGAAAATAGATCAGATAAAATAAATATAGGTTGTAGGGAATATAGGGAATGGGAAAATGTTGATTTGTATTTATTTCTTCCTATTTGCAAAGTACTGTTTCCGGCAAATTAAAGGGAAATATGTTTAAACAACAATACCACACATAACTATTTTTTGAATATCTGGAAAAAAAAGAATTACCCATTACCCAAAAGCAAGAACAAGGAGCTGTATTTATTAATCTGGGAAATATCATGGCATGACAAGGGAATTACAAAATTTAGCAAAAGTATCTGCACTGGATAACTGTAGCTCAGCTGCATTGGCCTACGATTTGCCATTTTTGTGAATTTCCCACAAATCCCAGTTTAAATATAAATTTGCATATAATATTAAAGGGACACTGTAGGCACCCAGACCACTTCATCCCATGCAAGTGCTCTTGGTGCACTGTCCCTGTCCTCTTAACCCTGCAATTAAAACTTAGCAATTTCAGAGAAAGTGTGATGTGTCTGTTGCAGGGTTAAGACTGCCTCTAGTGGCACTATCTGCATTTACACAGAGTTTAACTGTGAAATATTGCTGGACGTCCTCACGCTGTGCATAAGGACGTCCAGCATCTTCAAACCCATTGTAGCATTGATTCAATGGTTTCCTATGGAGAAGGCCTAATGCGTCTCTGCCCCCTCTGCAATGACATCGAGGGAGACGGAGACAGCAGCGAGGGACTTCAGCACTGGAATCAGGCAAGAGTTTAAAGGGTTATTGAATAGAGTGGGATAAGAAGTCATCCCTTAATTTATGATTATTATATGTGTCGGCAGGGGCATTGCTAGGGCCAAAAAACACCCAGGACTTGAGCCCAAAATTAATTTAGTGACTTCTTCCTAAAGCCGCACCTCTGACCCTTCCCAAAACCCCATCTCTGCCCATTCCCAGTTCTATCACTTAACAAACGGTTTGGCAAATTTACGGTTACTTATGGACACACACGCATAGAAGGGCAGACACACAAGGGCATTCACAAACACGCGCTGAAACACATACACAGGCACAAATAGGCACCAACAGGAACAGACAAGTACACACAGACACCGACAGGCACACTCAGACATAAACAGGCACAGATATGTGCACAAAGGTGCACACATAGAGTACACACAGGTGCACCTACAGACACAGACAAGCACACACAGACACACATATGTACACACAGGCACAGATGGCTACACACAGACACACACAGGCATGCGTATAGACAATAAAAAGGTGGTTGTCTACAGTGAAGTTTGGTTGAGAGGAAGGCAGGCGGTCAATCACTGTTTCAGCAGAGCCGATGGCTGCTAGCCTTCTGTAGGGAGAGAACTTAGCCAGCGTGCCATTTGTTTCTCGGCAGCGGTGTTGCTAGTGGGGTGGGTAACAGGGGCTGGAGCCCCAATTGGGATATTAAATAGCCCCTAGTCTAGTTTTGAAACCGTATGATTGTTAGCTCTGAGACCTCTGTAATACCGAGAGAGAAATAATATGTCCAATTACATCATTGGTGACAGTGCTAGTTTACCAATATTTACCAATATTCAGAGTAAATTATACAGGAAAAGGGAAAAGGGCATTTCTGTGGGTGAAGAGTTACTACACCATGCCTTGAGGTTACTACAACAGGTGTAAAGGTTATAAAAAAAAGATTTATATTGCATTGCAAATTCATTCAAAGATTGAATGTCACAATGTGATTTCAAGAATGTTCGGGTTTTGGGTTGGACATAGGGCATCGTATAGAGTAGAGATCTGGCAGGGAGGAGTTAATATATGTGGGAGGGCCTGTAAAATATACCCTTGAGCTGAAACCCCTGGTCTTTTTGCCCTCAAGCATGCCTCACTCCCATTCTCCTTCGCTGCCAGGCTGCTCTGCTCTCCTTGGCCAATCCGGGCTTTTCAGCCACGAGTTATAAAGATACACCCTCTGTCATATTCCCCGTGTGCCTCTATCACTGCACTGCTTCAGCTACCAGCCGACTCCTAGACTCACAGAGGAGACCGGGAGTGGGCAGGGAGAGCAGAGCAAGTGAATGACAAAAATAACCGGCACTATAGGGTTCCTAATTCAGGGCTCGAGGCCCCCAGAACTGCCTCTGTCTCTGTGCCTGCCTGTCTGTCTATCCAGCCACAGATAAATATAGTTTCATTAATGACACCAAATCAAGTCTATACCACTTGATGTTTTAGCTCTGGGCACCCAAGGTCCTCCCGAAGATTTTGACTGAAGATACCAGTCTGACTCCGATGAGGTTACCCTGGCATAAACTTAATCCAATACTGTGCATGACAATAACTATTGCATGTTTTAAACATCGAAAGTATATTGCTACTATAGCCTTGTATATCATTGTGAAAGAATTCCATGTATGTTAACACAAGAGCTTACAGTCTAATTGAAGATGTCATCTCTCAGGACATGAATAGCTGGCACTTGAACTTGACCCAAGCACCGATACCACAAACAGGTGTAATGAGAATAAGCCTTTCTTTCACTCAGGGTACTTGTAGTAGAGATGGGCACGACTAAACCAGGCAAGCTGCTCCAGAGAAATTGGGACAGGCACATGTGAGTCTTAATATAGAAGGCGGCCATGACTCAAATAATCTCTGAGGTTTCTCAGTTGCCAAATGTTTGATTATTAAATTATTTGCACTTTTGAATATTTAAAATGCTTGTTCTGTCCTCAGCTCTACTTTTAATATAGTTTGCCTAGAAAATACAACATGTTCACCTCCTAGATCGGTATTATTACATGCAAACAAAAATAAATCAATTAATTACTTACACTCTGTTGTCTTCGTTAGCCGATGGGGCTTGTTTCATTTGCCTGCACGTCGTTTTTCCAGGTTATTGATGAATCCAAGATCTCGCTTAATGATCAGACATTAGAAACTAATTATCTGACTTTGCTAACGAAATGTCTATCTACTTTATAGACTAATTATCTCTAATTATCTCTCTTCACACACTGAGCTTCTAACGTTATTGACTGATTATGGGACTTGTTTGACTCTGTAGGCCAGGGGTAGGCAAAATTTTAGCAGCACTGTGCCGATATAGGATTGTGATGTCCCGTAGCGTGCCGGTCCTATATTTTTTAAATTGAGGTGTGTATGCTGCCGTATTCGGCTTGTGTTATTTATACTGTAATTGCTTTGTATCGTTGTATTTGTGCGCATATGAGCTATTATATTGTATATGTTCATTAGTAGTTTATGGTATTGTGTATGATACACATGAATGTGGGCTGTGTATGAGGGCTGCTTGTGGACTTGTGTGTGAATGGATTTGTCACATTGTGTATTTGGTAGTGTGTGTATGTGTGGGGCTGTTTGGGGTATTGCATGTGAGAGGCTGCATGTGGGGTTGTGTGCATGTATGTGGATTGTTAGTGGTGTTGCGTTTGTGGGGATTATGTGTTGTGTGTGTGTGGGCTGTTCATATTATTTGTATGAGGGGAGGGTTATTCTGCAGTGTGGGTGGGTTCCCTGGGTTCCAGTGGGGACCAGGCTGGCCAGGTACAGGTCAAGGACAGGAGCTGCGATAGCTGTCGAGGGCTGCTCTACTACAGTGTGGATTCCCATTCACAAGTGCTGGGAGGAAGTGATCTGAGATCACTTCCTCTATGTGCTGCAATGCATAAATTGAGGATTGTCCTTCACCACCTCTTCGTATTAGCAGATATCTGAAGTTTTACTGGGACTCCTGATAGGCCAGCGCCTGTTTGGCTCTAGCAGCCTTGAGTGCCGTACAAAGACACCTCGAGTGCCGTGCATGGCACTAGTGCTGTAGATTGCCTACCCCTGCTGTAGACTATTCATATAAATGTAAAGACTATCTAACTATTATTACACGTTACAGGTTACATGCTCGACTTTAAAGACTGATTTGCTGACGTTATAAACTGTTTATTTGACTATATAGACTGATTGTCCGACTTTGTATACTATTCATCTAAATGTCCTGACTGATGTCCTGCTTTAATTTTCTGATTATCTGACTTCACAGCCTGATTATCTTACTTTATAGATTGATCATTAGACCTTGTGGAATATTTATCAAAGTTTATCTAGTATCTAATCTGTCCTAAATTATAAAATGCTTTCCACAGAAACAATGAATTGATGGATTGGATAATAGATCATCAGATACTCTGTGTGTCTGTATATTATATAATATTAATGTATGCACATACTGTGACGAAACCGACCTCGCCACTGGGCATTGGAGAAGACTGATTGCCAGTCTCCTGCCATGTGACTATGGCCCCTGGGATGTATTGTCCTTTAAAGACATGATTTGGGCATAATGGATTTGTGTTGTGCTGCTGCTGCTGGCCCTTTAAGAACCATCTGGGGACATACTGTGGAGTTACTGGGTGGCCACCATTTCCTGTATCAGAGGCACACGGTGAGAACAATGGATGAAGCACATGGTGAGAACAATGGATGGCGGCCATTTTAACTCACAGACACTGTTTGGACTTTTCTACACAATGCCATCTCGCCGGTATTTGGTGCACAAAGACATCGTGCAGTGGTTTTGGACTATACAGCAGGGGACACATTATACAGTAATTATTTTTTATATAGCCTGTATATGTTCTGTGGAATCTGCATTAAACCGTATCTTCCAAACTACTGAACGGATCTGGGTGAATTTTGGATATGTGCTTCACCCAGATCCTCAGACTTTTATGGGGTTATTGCATGTTTTGGGCTCCCTGTGATATGTTTTAAAATCCTGTATTTCTCTGCCTGTGATAATTATATTACCCATTGTGTTCAGTAATCATATCACAGGCAGAGGGGAGGATTTTGTTTGGGAGTGTCTGTGTGTATTGTACGGATTGATTGGTTGCTCTGTAAAACCCTGTGGGCAGTACTATGTTTGTGGATTGTGAATAAAAGAGGCTGTATGTGCCAGTAGAGTCAGTTCTGCTTGACCTCAGAACAAAGTGTCGTCTCGTTATTGGGGGAATTGGATTGTATGCTGATTGCCAGGAGTGTAAGCTGATTGTATGCTTTTCCTGTTCAGCTGTTTACAGCATTCATATGCTTGAGAGCATTTGTATGCTTCTCCGGTTCGGTGGTTGTGGTGTCTGCTGCAGTGCTTGGAGTCCTCAGGAAGCGCTAGGAGCATCTTTCAACGGAGGTACCCAGTCGGGGTGCCAGGCGATCCATTAGACATACAAATAGGTAATAGTGTAGGACTTAAAGGTACACTATCGTCACCAAAACAACAACAACAGCTTAATGTAGTTGTTCTGGTGAGTATAGTCAGTCCCTGCAGGCATTTTCATGTAAACACTGCTTGTTTCAGAGAAAATGCAGTTTTAAAATTGCAGCCTGGATACACCTCCGGTGGCCACTCCTCAGATGGTCAATGGAAGTACTTTCTGGGGCAGTGCTGCATGCTCTTCATGGAGACACTGAATTGACGATCTCAGCCAATCCAATTCCTTTTCTGTTGGAAAGTATTGTGATTGGCTTAGATCATCACTTCTGACAATTTCGGCCAAGGAGGCAGATTGGGGGCAGAGCCAGCACCAGCAGACTGGAATAAAGTTAAGATTTTTCTATACTTAAGGGGGCAATGCTTGGGGAGGGGAGCTAGTGATTTTAGCGCTTTAGGGTCAGGAGTACTTGTTTGTGTTCCTGACCCTATAGTGTTCCTTTAACATTTCAAGTGTTGATTTTTACTGCCCAATATCAGACTGTAAGGTTCCTGATACACTCACCTGGGCGGCATTTCTACTCCTCAAGTCGAATGGAAAGTTTTAGCCCTGTAATATTATATAAAATATAGACACGTACAAATATAGGGTACCTTTCAGGTTGGTTGGTGGGCACACTCCCACAGTAAAGGAAAACTATAGTGTTGGGAATACAAAGCCACGCTTGCATTAGGCTTTCCCCATAGGAAAGCAATTGCCTCAATGCTTTCCTATGGGGATTTTCAGGACGCCGCATGTCCTCAAGCACAGCGTGAGGCTGTCCAGTATCGTTTCACGGAGTCATGCTCTGTGAAACTGCAGGAAGTGCCTCTAGTGGCTGTCTGGTAGACGACGACTAGAGGCAGTCTTAACCCTAAACTGCAATGTTTTACATCGCAGGGTTAAGGGGACACAGTTCATTCCACTTAGACCGCTTCAATGAGATGAAGTGATCGGGGTGCCTATAGTTTTTTCTACATTAATGCAATATTACCCTCAGTGTGCAGGGTGTGTCCTGTTCGATTTCATTCCATGTAATTGGTACCAAGAGCCCCCTTAGCGTCGAATTGTTGAAATAAATGGGTTTAGTTGTGTTAAATACTGTTGCAGATTTATTTATTTATACCTGTTATCGATATATATCATTATAGATTATTATTTCATTTCCCTGCAGCTGTACACAATTCATGCATTAATTAACAAACGTCCATGTCCCGGTACAACTTTAGGGGATATTTACATTGTTACTGTAAGGAGAATCTCATCAATTGTGTCTTTTCGACCTTATTGCTTAAACTGTGATAGAATTCTATTTGATTTTAATGTTTGTTACATTTTTCACAGTAACAGATTTTTGAATCAGATGGGAAGGTTTTTCACTCGCTGGCACTGTACAGGTTAATCTGCAGTATTTGGTCTTTCGGCGAGGCTGTGACATAGTTCGGTATTAAACAGGTTTCGCCCACAGATTACCCGCACCCAGCCTTTCATTCAGTTACTCTCAGCACTTTTCCTTACAACTTGCTGAAATACGGATTTATTTTCCCCCCAATCACCATATTAAGAAGGGATCCAGTCAACGTGTTAAAGCTAAAAATAAGAGGGGATGAGTGTGGAGTAAGTTAAGACGGACTTGTGCGGATGATAGGTAATTAGAGATTGATGGAGGGGAACGAGAGGGAAGGAGTGCAGAGACTCTGTGAAAGTGCTGCGTGCGAGAGTCCAGAAAGCCCTCGGACTCATCTTGTGTTACCCTGTCATCTGAAAGATGCAGCAGCCACTTAACTAACCAGCCTCGTAGTCCCTAACAGTTTAACTGGGGCTTCCACATTCGCGTGTTAATCAGGGAATCTTAGAAAAATACACCGGGTCTGCATTGTGTAAAGTAAAGATTTTGCCATTTGCATTGTACATTTTTCTGATTACCGCAATGTGTGGGCAAAAGGGACAATTGACCCATCATTACCCAACCAGAACTCCTGGCATCATCAGGGTCTTCTACTGATGAGGGTTTAAGTTTAAAATGTCCCTAAAAGTTGCCTTCCTTCCAGTGCCGAGTCAGTCAGTTTTATAGAGGAGAGTTGGGGACAGAGGATGCATGCACAGCGATTGTCACGCTCCACTACTTGGTACTATTCACACAAGTGTGCTTGATGACGCCAAATGTAAAGTCCTTTGATTTTCAAAGGTCTTTGTGATGAAGATCTTCTGGAGCACATTTCTATGTACAGAAGGCCATTTTGATGGCTGAACGCGATCAGCTGATGCTCTCAGCCAATGATTGACCCAGCTGGACTGGAGGCTCAGTGACCTGTGAGGATCCAGGTAAGAAGCAAACTGTTGCAAAACGGTTTGCCCCATTACCGCAGAACAGCACCAGGGTACTCCTACCATCATAATCACTACAGCAGGCTATAGTGGTTATTACACTTGGAGTAACCTTTTAAAGGGACACTATAGTCACCAGAGCAACTAGAGCTTGATGTAGTTTTTCTGGTGTGTATAACATGTCCCTGTATGCCATGGTCACATTATACTTCATTCATTTCACATAACTGTGGACGTAAGTCAGTGAGACCCCAAGCCAAGAGCTCAATAGAACCACAGATGTCATGCGGAAAATGGAAGAGTGTAATAAATTTCAAAGTGGGGTCCGATTACCATGAGGAATAACTTTTCCTGTCAAGTATTTATTATGCCTTAAAGGGGAACTTCCATGTTTATGTGAGGTCCAGAAAATAAAATATAGAAATTCACATCCATCTTGTTTCCCTGTCAGTCATTAGTATATACTTTGACCTTTTCTGCTATTGAACAAAGTTAGTGGTTGGTAATAAATGAAACAATGTTTCTGTTCTCCTCATTTGCATTGTGTGCCTTTGGATGCCCCTTTCGTGGATCGTGGTCTGGAGTTGTAATGAGGACCCAAAGGACCAAGCTTCTGGTGGGTATATGCTCCTCTCTGCATTCTTCTCCACTTCCGCAGTGTTGGCGACAGGGACGTATTAGCCGCGAGGCAAATTAGGCATTTGCCTTGGGCGGCATTTTTCAGGGGGCGGCAAAAAACGCCGCCCCCAAATGCCCAGGGCAAATGCCTAGTTAGCCTTGCGGCTAACAGACATGCTGGGCGCTGGCTGATGGGCGGGCGGGCGGCTGGCGAGGGAGCACTTCCCTTGAGCGGTCTGCTCAGCTCCCTCGCGCACCGCACAGTGAGGCTGGGAGCCGGAATATGACGTCATCAACCTGGCTCCCAGTCTCACTCTGCGGCGCGCAAGGGAGCTGAGCAGTCAGCTCAGAGGAAGAGCTCCCTCGCCAGCCGCCCGCCCATCAGCCCGACCGGCAGCCACTGGACCACCAGGGAGAAAGAGCCTGCCTAGGGCAGCACAAAACCAGGATACACCACTGGTCAGCG